GTGGGTGTTTTAAGCCATTAAATTTGGGTGATCGTTTAGCAGCAGGAATTAGGTCCTGGAAGCAGGTGAAACAAAGCTGAACACATGTGGCCTTGGCTTTGGGACTGAACACTGGACAGAAGACGGGGGTGCCTTGAGGCTGCTGGTAGTTGGCCTAAAGGGCATCAAAGAGGCTTTAAAGGAAAATGAGTAAAAGTTATTGGAAGCCAAAGGAAGGAGGCCCCTTCTCATGCGATGGTGGAAATTTTGGTAATGCCGTCGTCCATGCCAGAGGAAGTGTATGTGGAGGAGGGAACTCAACGATCGAGGTCAGGAGATTGCCAGGCAAAACCCTGAAAGTGTCGCTTGGCTTCTTCTTGTTGCCTCCAGAAGCCACTTAGATCTTTAGAAACCATCACATACACGGACAAGAACGTGACTACAAACCCCTTTAACATCTCAGCAAGATTTAAGGACTTCACGAGAAATCCAAAATAGGGAAGAGTTGATCCGGAAGAAGTCTGTGGGTGTAGCTTTTAATAGAGTCAACTCCAAGGAGAATCATACCAAACCCACCAAATCCTAAAGGAATTGTTTTGGAGAATGTACCTCTGACTTAGAGGGAGGGCGGCAGAGAAAGCGCAATGTAGAAAGAGACTTCTGAACCCAATCTCTTTTTACGGACAGGAAACAGACTGAGACGTGTACTGCATACTTGGTTGCAATTTGGTTTTGTTATGGATGAGGGAGGAAAGGTTCAGGGGCAAAACCCAAGAGCCCAGAGGGCGGAGCTGAGAGGCTCGGTGAACAATTAGTAGGTTGTAGGACGGATTCCTCTCTAAGGAACTGCGACAGGTGCCAGCGGGATTTCAGAATTACGACGGACCAATGACTCTGGGGTTCCCATTTTCCAATGTTTGGAATAGGAGCATCTATAATGATTTTTCCATATCTGTCCCATCATTGTGTGGTGTGTGTGTGCGTGCGTGCGTGCGTGTGTGTGCGTGCATGTGTGTAGATAACTTGTATCTTTAGTTCACAGAACTTTAAATCAAGAGGAGTAGCCCTCCAGGGACTGGACCTAAAGAATCACATCAGAGAGACTCCCCTGCCCTTGGACATGTTCTGGATGATGAGACATCAGACGTCAAGGGGATGCCATAATGGGGTGAAGTCTGGGAGTCTTTGGGGGGAAGAGATGGATGTATTCTCCATATATGGAGACTGTAAATTGTCGGGGGGAGGGAAATGTGGTCGATCTCATTTTGCAAGGTGACCAGAACAGTATCTCCCATCTCAGAAGCTGTTCTTACAGAGTGAGGCTAACAACCTTCCTGTCACGTAGTGGCTTCTACATTCCTTCCCTTTACATCCAGGCCGGCTTACGACTAAGACAGAAGTCACACTGTGTGACTTCCAAGCCTCCGTTGTAAAAGGTGTCACAGCTCCTGCCGGGTCCTCTTGGACGCTTCTTCCTGGAACCTCCAGAACCAACGGAGATAAAATCACCGTTACCACATCCCGCTACTAAATTTGGGGTGATCTGGTTCTGCAGCAGCAAATAAACGATACAACCGGAATGACAAGTACGTGAAGAGATCATTCATGCAACACACGGACTGAGCACTGACCCTGTGCACCAGGCGTCCTTCCAGGTACTAAAATCCTGCCCTCCTGGGGCACACATGGTAGTGGGAGGAAATAGATTGTAAAGAAGTCATATCTTAATTTAGTGAATGATAAATGTTAAGGTGAAAATGCAAAGAAAGAGAATAGCAAGGGACAGCAAATAGTGCAATTTTATTTTATTTTTAAAGATTTGTTTATTTATTGGACAGAGATCACAAGTAGGCAGAGAGGCAGGCAGAGAGAGAGAGGGAAGCAGGTTCCCCGCTGAGCAGAGAGCCCGATGCGGGGCCCGATGCAGCACCCTGGGATCACGACCTGTGCTGAAGGCAGAGGCTTAACCCTCTGAGTCACCCAGTGCCCCAAATAGTGCAATTTTAAACAGGAAGGACAAGGAAGGACTCACGGAGGTGATAGTTGTGCAAAGACCTAAAGCCATAAGGGGTTTGTGTACTAGGTGGATATCCATGGGAAGAGGATTCCTTGCAGAGGGAGCAAATACAAGGGCGCTCGCAGTGTGGGGAGCATGCCTGCCAGATAAGGAGGGCAGGAGGCCAGGGAGGCTTGGCAGCTGGAGGAAGCGGGAGGAAGGGGCAGCTGGAGGAAGGAACCTAGGATGTAGGTTCAGAGAGATGATGGAGAGGGAGCATGCCGCCTTCTAGGTTACTATAAAATCTTTTTTATTTCTAGGGGACTGGGAAGCCATGGAAGGTTTGAGCGTGGACACGTAGTCAAGTGGCTTTTGTTTGTTTGTTTCTTGGTTTTAGTAATCTCCACGCCCAATGGGGGGCTTGAACTCATGACCTGGAGATCAAGAGTTGCATGCCCCACCAACTGAGCCAGCCAGGCGCCCCTGATCTTAGGCAAGTTTTAACAAGACCGCTCCAGCTGCTGTTATGAGAGAGGAGAACAAGGGGGGAACAGGGAGAGCAGTCAGCAGCTATCGCAGCAAGCCAGGTCACGGCTAATGCCTCAGACCAGTCACACCCGTGGGCCTGGTGAAGAGTAGCTGAATTCTGGGTCCATTCTGCAGGTAGAGCTGAGAAATCCGTGGGCAGAATGGGTAGGAGAAGAGCACAAGGGAGGAATCAAGATGACTCCCAAGGTTTTGGTCCAAGTGATCGAGAAGGATGGAGTTGCCATTTAGCATGATGGGGAGACAAAGAGGAGGGGGTTGGGGGGTGAAACAGGAACTTAATCCAGAACTCGGAGGGCATCAGAGATGACTGGTGTATGCAGCACGGGAGAGAGGCCTGGGCTGGAGATACAAACTGGGGCTCGGCGGCGAGTGGCTGGCAAGCCAAGCACTGGGACTGACGTTATTTCACCAGTTCCCACGAGGGGTGGGTCCGGAGCTGACCCCAAGGCCAAAGCCCCTTCCAGAAGGGCATGCTGCTTCTCCGTAGGTCCTTGGGCATTCTGAGGTTGGGCCATTCTGGGATACTGCCACACAGCGGGAGTGTTGGAGGGATCAGCCTCTGAAGTCACGTGGCTTAGTGTCACGTGCCCGTCTCCCTGACACCATCTCCGCCGGACAGTTGTTGAGGATTAAGTGAATTATTACATGAAAGACTGCCTTGTGCCTAGAATATGCCCACAAAAGCCAAGTTATCTACAACCAACGTGGTTTCCTTTGGCCCAACACCAGTGGATATCAAAGCCAAGTTCACAGGCCACTGCGGAGGTCTCCTTCTATTGAAAACTTAACCTCGTCAGACCAGGCCTCTTTATGTCTCCTTTCCGCGCCAAACAAAACACAGTTCAATTCACTTCTTTCTGCATCAAATCCAAAGGCTGCAAAACGTGCACAAAATAACGTGCTCGGCTATCTTTTTCAAAAGGTATTTCATCAACTCTTTTTAAAATTCCACGTAAGAGTGAGTCACAAAACGAGTAAGAAGTTATTTTAATCATCTCTCTGTCAAGGATTATTTCTCTTCGGCTCATCTGATACTTGGATCTTCCTTCGTATCTGACCATCTTTCTTGTAGCCAAGGCCTGCTTTTTAAAATATTTCGGAATTTATCTTAGTATCCGTAATTAACCGATTGCATCAAACACAAGTTTCTATAAAATAGTAACCTTGCGACTCTGAAAAACAGAAACATGAATTATCTTGCCCCTAGAAATGGTACAGACAGAAGATATGTCCTACCCAGAGGAAGATCCTTGAAACCTCTGAATTCTGGGTATTCAAAATGCTGAGGGTACACGGAGGGATACGGCAGCGTCTTATCACATTCACCGGGACGTGCAGACAACAGAAACTGTGCTGTGAAGACTTTATAATCTGGTTAGAGAGGATATAATAATACATATTCGTAAGATGGATAAACGATTAGGCATAGAAGCCCCCCAAATAGAGGTTTTTTTTTAAGATTTTATTTATTTGACAGAGATCACAAGTAGGCAGAGTCAGGCAGAGAGAGAGAGGAGGAAGCAGGCTCCCCACTGAGCAGAGAGCCCGATGCGGGGCTCGATCCCAGGACCCTGGGACCATGACCTGAGCTGAAGGCAGAGGCTTTAACCCACTGAGCCACCCAGGCGCTCCGAAACCCAGCTTTATAGATGTATACATATGTAAGTTTAGTAAAAAGTGAACTAAATTAGTGGAAGTATCTGCATGGAGGGATAACGAATGCATTATATATTTTGATTTACTATCCGTCTGCTCAAGAGAAGTCATACGGGGCTGGGGGCACGGACTTTGGAGCCTGGACATTTACTCTTCCACTAACTGACCGGGTGACCTTGAGCCAGTTACTGAACCTCTCTGCACCTCACACCCTGATGCGCTTATAAACCACCCAAGACAATAGTTTCGTCTTATTTTTTGAAGATTTATTTTAGAGAGAGCGTGCATGCGAGCAGGGGAGGGGCAGAGAGAGAGGGAGAAACTCCTCAAGCAGACTCCCCTGCAGAGCTTGAGGCTTGATCCCAGGACCCTGTGGTCATGAGCTGAGCCAAAATCGAGAGTCAGCGGCTCAAGACTTGGAGCCACCCAGGCGCCCCAAGAGAATCGCCTTCTTTGAGGGCGAAGCCATATGTGGGCAGAAGCCTCTGTGTGGCAAAGGAAAGGCTCTGCAAGTGCCCACTTTCTGCATTGCACAGGTGCCACGGGCTGGCCTTGAGGGAGAACTGGAGAAGTCAGGGGAAAGGTACCGGCGATGGGGACCATGCTGGGGACAGCAGAGACCGAACGCGACACAGCTCAGCCCCTCGCACACGCAATCGGCGACATGAGAACCGGGACTGATACAAACGCGAGAAAGTTTTATTTTAAAAATAGCGACTCTTAATTGGCTGCAGACGGGATTCACCACGGGCAGGCTCCCCTGGCTCTGGTTCCTCACCCACCCCTCTGCTTTCCACAAAAAGAAGAGACTCAAAGAAGGTTCCTTCTGAATGCGTATCACCATTTATTGTAGTTTGCGTTAGGAATCGAACAGAGGACATTGTCTGTGGAGGGGGAGGAAAAAGGAAAAAAAGAAAGTCTGTTCTTGTAGCTTAATTTCCTCAAAACACTTTATGGTTTCAGATCCTTTTTTACCCCACAGGAAATGCGAGAATTCAAGTATGTTGAAGTCGGGAGCAGTAATACAAAAAGTCTTATGGTTCTGTGCGTGTGTGGGTGTGTCTGTGTGTGTGTTTACAGGGAGACACGCGTCCCCGTTTCCTGTGCCCCATTTTTGCTTTGGTAAGGGCAAGCCCCAAAGGATACGTCTTATAGATGACCCCCTGCCTCGAACTCACAGACTCCGGAGTTGAGGAATTTCTTTTCCCTCCTAGGATAACTGTAACGGTTTGGAACTGCCGCCCCCCGCCCGGCGTGCGCCTCCCCCCAAAACCGTAAGTCTTGTAAAAATCCTGATATACGTGAATACTTTTTCCTGCCCTGCAGCTGCTCCTCGGGCTCCTACGAGAGGCCTATGCCAAGGACCAGGGCAACAGGTTCTCTTCATTTTGTTGAGAATAAAAAAACTTTAAATGGACATTTCAAAAGAAAAAAAAAAAAATAAAAACTGAAATTCGAATTCTGAAAATATCTTGCCTTTTTTATTAATCATGTCATCTAACACCAATTAAAAAAACAAATATGTGAATATGATATAAAAATACGATCCCAGGATTAACACTTTGTCGCAGGCACGGTTTTCTCACAGAGTATATGTCTAGAGGGCCGGGGGGAAGGAGTATATTTTTGTTTTTGCTTCTCTTAAAAAATTCCACAGCAGTGCAAGTAGGGTCAGGAAGGGAGGAGGAGGGGGAAGGATTCTTTAGCAGCAAAATGTCCAAGGTTCTCTAATCACAATCAAATCAACGGGTATTGGGCTTGGGGTGGGGGTGGGGGGAGATGAACTTAGGATGCTGCCCAGACCCACTGGTCATCAATCGCTAAAAGACTTCCGTTGCAAAAGCCCCAAATGGTGACATAGGAAGACGAGCTTTATTACACAAACAATCGTAAAGTGTGTCCCTCAAGCTTTTGACCATGTGTGTCACTTAAATATATGTACAGGAATGGGGTTCCTCTTGCCATCCACGTCCTCGCAGGTCTCCACCGTCTGGTCACTCTGGGGGAGGTGGGTGGGGGCTCTCGGCGTCTCCTGCCCGGCGGGGCTGAAAAGCATCGGAAGGGCGTCTCCACCGCCGACGCCGCTCCCGCCTGCCTGGCCGGCCTTGGCTGTGTCTCGCGGAGGGTGGGCACGGGGGACGGTTTAGTGATCACTGTTTTGTTTCTCTCTCATCCAGGCGTGAATCTGTTCTTTCAATTCTGGCACTGGGAAAGAAAAGGAGAGGATTAATGGCCCCTGGCTGGAGGGCTCCAGCTAGGAGATGGAGCCCGCGGTTCTATACAAACGGAGAGAAAAGGCCATTCACTAGCCCCCGACAGGAAGGCGGAGAAGAAGCAGGACATAAGGACCAGCCTCCCACAGTGAATCAGAGCCAAGAATGCTTTGTGTCTTTTCCATGAAGTGCCGTAAGCTATGGAAGCTTCTGGATTTGGTACATCGGCCCCTTCTGATGGCTCTCTGACAAGGGACTCGGGCGCCACGGCTGGGCCAGGACGCGGGCCCGGGGCCCGAGGCTGCGCCTTCCTCTACCTGGTTCCAGCATGCTCTCGGTCAGCGTCTGCCGGTTGAAGGGGTCTGTGGGGGAGTTGAGCAAGTGCCGCAGGATGATGGAGCGGTCCATGATGGTGCCGGACGGCAGCCGCACGGGGTCGGTCATCAGGGTGTCCATCAGAGGGTCTGCGGAGACAGAGCAGAGCGAACTGTCATCTCAGCGCCCAGAACTGAAAGGTGACAATGAGACAAAGCCCCTCCTGTCAGGGAAAGGTCTAGATCCACAGACACAACAATCACCTGGCCCAAGCAGGCCCCCGAGGGCAGCCAGACGTCGGCATAAGATAAAGACACCCACGGTGCCTCCCGGGGAGGGACGACGCACCCTTGGCCAACCAGAGCTGGGACGGGGAGGAACAGAGGCAAAGGACCAGGGCTCTGCAGGAGAGACAGCGGCCGGAGCCCCTCATCTCAGAACCTCCAGGATTCTCCTTTGGAAATGCAAATCCCCTCTCGCAAAGGCAAGGCTGATCTTGGCACGTGCGTGGTCGTTACGTGCGTGGTCGTTACGTGGTTTGATATCAAGATAAGGACCCGCCCTTTTTAATTTATAACGGAACTAAAAGTAGGCAAACGTAATTTCAGACACTGCGTCTCCAGGAGTAACTCTAGCACACCATACAAAAGTGGAAAGCACAGACCGCTGTCTCTTCATGTTACGTCTCCTGGTCATTCAGAGAATTCAGCAGGAGGAGAGCGGCCCACTTGCCTCTGAACTCGTCGGGGGCGTCGCTGTAGTCGATTTCCGCGCGTGCGTTCTTGGCCACTATCTCCTCCACCTTCTCGGCCAGGAGCTTAAACTTCTCGATTGCTATGGTCGATTTGATCCCGGCCTTCCGCATCTTCGAGATCACTTCTTCAAACAACTCTTTGCTGTAGGATCTCTGCCAACGAGGAAAGACAATGGGAGCCATCCGTGTATTTTAAGTAGGAAAAAAGCGGCAGAAAATGCCCGGAGTATGGTCCGTTTGTGTCTCTCTAAAAAAGCCCTGAGAAGGTACCGTGTATCTAAACACTCTCACGTGGCTACAAACACATGCTATACAAACCGGAATAAGCCAGACTAGACCGCACAAGGTCATTACCGCGGAGCAGGACTTCAGGGTTGAGGCAAAGGAGGGGAATTTTTAAATTCTGGAATTACTTCTACAGCAAACATAGATTCTTTTAAAATTTAAATTTCTTTATGAGACAGGGAGAGACAGAATGAATGGGCAGGGGAGGGGCAGAGGGAGAGGGAGAAGCAGACTCCCTGCCGAACACGAAGCCCGACCCAGGACTCGAACCCAGGGCCCTGAAATTATGATGCACTGAAATCGAGAGTCAGACACCGAACTGACTGAGCCACCCAGGCGCCCCTAAAATTTAAATATTAAAAAGAGAATGAAAATCGCGTCTGTTTGAGGCTTTGAAAGGCACTGTGGCCTGCGACAAGTGTCAGCTCTTTCCCCTAAAGGTCAACATGGGAAAACAACCCACCACGGCTCGTAATCAAAAGGAGCTTTATCCTGTTCATGGTCAGTCTTTCTTCCAGAGCTCTCAGCTCCACACTGTTAAATGTCAGGTGCTCTGCTGAGAGGAGCACAGGGGCTGGTGGAGGACAAGTGCCCATGAAGACCCAGATGAATAGGGACTTGAATTCTGGCTCCACTGTCTACCCACTGGGCGGTCTCAGGCAAACCCCTCTGGGTCCCAGTTTCCTCCGGCATAAAACGGGGGTGTAACACCCACCTCACATGTGCCTAATTCAGATACATCACTGCCGTTCGGAAATATCACAGCATATCCTAATTTGCATTTATAGCAAAAACACTGGCCACTTGTCAATTCAGTGACAGTGATGCAAACAGAAGAGGAGATGGATCAAGCTTAAGACTCCGAACGACGGCCTGGTCACCCCTGAGTGGCGCTTCCCATCCAAGGATTCAGACGAACGTCTATGGGGTGAATTCATGTCAATACCCGTATTCTTTTAGAGCATGGGGTTGAAATTCCTCGACCTTTCTTCTTTAACTTCAGTTTCTAAGTAAGCGTACATGCTCGCTTTCTCTCTGTACGCACCCACGCGCAGATGAAAGGGCATCCGCTAGCCTCAGCCTGGCAGAAATCCTAAAAGCCATCCTGTCCAATCCTGAAAAGTTCAGAGAGCCTCCAGTATAGTTTTCTGAAACTAAATTACTACACGGATTCAGCAAATACCTTACTTGACATCTCTCCTTCTTATAAGCCAGGAAGCCAAAGCCTCCATCCATCCCTTTGGGGAGAGGCACAGGGGATAAGTGGCCAAAAGATTACAGGAAGATGTTGGGAGGCCAAAATTAAAATACCGTGCACAGGCATGTATTGTGGATTGGGCGTTGCGACTGAGACAACTTCACCTTGAACTTCTCTTTGTAACAAGGGGCCACTTGCTATCGTCATGAAACATCACCTACCCTATTTCACAAATGACGACGATGAGTTTTTAACCAACTGACTTGTGCTTACTTCTAAGTCAACTTCTAAGAGCAGTGTGGTGGGCATTATCAGAAATCAAAGGCCACCCGTGATGAGGGGACATGGCATTCAGCCTCCTGGAGCAATGGCATCAATGCATAGAGCAAAGGCACATTACTGAGCTGCTGCTTCGAGTCTCATGTGGGTTGGGTCAGAGATGCAGCAAAGATGCTGTTCTTGTCCTCAACGATCTTACAGAATCATTCTAAAATTAAACACGGAAATACCTACAATCATGTATCTGATAAAGGTCTTGTATCCAGAATATATAAAGAGCTCCTACAATTCAACAACAAAATACAAACAACCCATCTGAAAAATGGTGAAGGACGTGAACAGCCATTTCTCCAAAAAAGACATACAGATGGCCAAGAAGCACATAAAATTTGTTATGAAAATGTGAATCAGAACCACAGTGAAGTACCACTTCATTCCCACTAGGGTGGCTGTTAGAAAAGAAAAGAAAAGAAAAGATAACAAGTGTTGGTGAGGATGTGAAGAAATTGAAACGAGACCCCTTGTCCACTGCTGGTGGGAATGGAAAATGGTGCGGCCACTGTGGCAGACAGTGGGGCAGGTCCTTGAAAAGTTCAACATCGTATTACTGCTAGGATTCAACAATTCTACTCCTGAGTGGATAGCCCAAAGAATCAAAGACAGGTATACAAATACTTGGTCACCAATGTTCAGCGAAGCACCATTTCTAACAGCCAAAAAGTGGGAACTACTCAAAGGACCACCGATAGATGAAGAGAGAAACCCATCAGGGGAGCTCCACGTAATCAGAGACCATCCAGCCGTAAGAAAGGAACGAGGTACGGGACACTGATGAAACTCAAAATATTATGCTAAATGAAAGAAGCTAGACACAAAAAGTAACATATTGTATTATTCCATTTATAGGAAATGCCCAGAAGAGGCAAACAGGTAAATCCCGAATTAGGTAAAATCAAGAGACCAAGCAGATCAGTGGCTGCCCAGGGCTGGGGTGATGGGGGGCGGGGGATGGACGATGCCTGCTTCGTGAGTGTGACATTTCCTCCCGGGGGTGGTATTTGGATAAGCTATTAGAACTGGAGAGAGGTGGAGGTTGCATAACACTGGGAATGCACTAAATGCCACCAAACTGCATGCTTCAACGTTATGTGAATTTCACCTCAATTAAAAAAAAGAAACAAAAAACAAAAAAACAAAAAGGAAAGATGGACAGCAGAAGTGTGACTTCAGATGGGCTTTTTATTCTTTATTTTCATTTATTTTACTTTTTAAAGATTTTATTTATTTATTTTAGAGCGAGGGCCCTCGCGTGCGAGCAGGGGGAGGTGCGGAGGGGGAAGGGAGAGCATCTTAAGGAGACTCCGCACCAAGTGTGGAACCCAACACAGGGCTCCATCTCATGACTGGGAGATCATGACTTGAGCCGGTTCAAGAGTCACGCGCTCACTTGACTGAGCCACCCACATGCCCCTCTTTATTTTATTTTTGAACAGACCCTAGTGCTAACGGACGGCAGTAGCAGTCCACACAGAATGCCCGTGAGAGCCCGTCCTGCGTGGCCATCAGTGTGGTGCACGGTCTCCCTAGGGCCCCCCTGTCCCGGGCTCCCTCAGCTCCAGGATAGCTGCCCTCCAGTCCTGCTCTGGCGACGGGCTCTCTCCTCCAGTTTGTGAGTATAAGGCTCAGCGGCTCTTCACGCCGGTCCCCCTGTCCCCTTTTCCGGACACTTGTCTTTAGCCCACTCTTGGCTGACCGGGAGAGAAGCTTCTGAGTTTCTTTCCCTGCTGGGCCGCCATTTTCTTCTTCCTTGGTCTTCCCGGACATCCCAGATCAAACCAAGACCACTGCTCCCAAAGGAGAAAACAAAATTCCCCTACTGTTCCTCTGGAGCTCTCTGGACTTCCAACCTTCCTTCCCAGCCCCCCAAACCCTCTTCCGAGACGATCATCAGGGCCCGAATCAGCTTACAGCCACTATATATGGGAAATGCCCAACAATCAGAACAAACATCACACTTAATACGTTTTCCTGTCCATGGTGACAGTGGCACATGCGTATTTGCTTTCCGAGTCTAGCAGAGCGGGGCTCTTTAGAAATTCAAGAAAAGGGGCGCCTGGGTGGCTCAGTGGGTTAAAGCCTCTGCCTTCAGCTCAGGTCATGATCTCAGGGTCCTGGGATCGAGCCCCGCATCGTTCTCTCTGCTCCGCGGGGAGCCTGCTTCCTCCTCTCTCTCTGCCTGCCTCTCTGTCTACTTGTGATCTCTGTCAAATAAATAAATAAAATATTTTTTAAAAAATTAAAAAAAAAAAAAGAAATTCAAGAAAAGCTACGGGCCACAGTGCAGAAGCTGCAGTCTATGATTCAAGCCTGGTGCCACCACAGGCCCCACCACACTCCACGGGCATCACCGGACGCTGTCCCCCACTGGGTCTTCACCATCTCACAGCCGTGCTGTGTTTATCCACACTGCAGGACGGTCCTGTTCCCCATGCCTGAGCCGGCAGCCACAGCAAGGCCTACCAGCAACACCGAGCGACTCAACTCTTCCAAGCCTTCCAAGTCTCTGGGGACCTCTCACACCCCGGCCTCTGGCCGGACTACTGCAGCCTGGCTGCAGCCGGCCTACCGTCCAAGCAGACACCCCCATCCGGATGGGGGCATGTCTTCGTCTTTCTCCATCGGACTACAGACTGCCACTTACCGTCCATAGGTCAGGATGTGCAGTATTACGGAGCTGTAGTCTAGAAAAACATCTTTGCAACCCCCCACGGTAACTGCAAACTCCTAACCCCCTCCTATACCACCACTTTTTACGGAAAACCCACTTTAGACCACTTAAAAAAAAAAACCCACTTTAAACACCTATGTGGTGTTTCCCCTTGTAGGCACTCTGGCAAGACCGACTCTCTTGCTTACATCCAGAAGTACCCACATATGTGAATTATATCTCAGTAAAACTATTATTAAAAAAATAGTACCTAAAACTCCTCTACTTTACTATCATTCCTTTGGATGAGAGATGGGTAAAGAACCTCCTAGAATCCCTACTGCTGGTTAACCTGAAACGTGAGAGATATCTGGACAGATAGGGTGAACAAAGATGGAGAGATAGATGAGCATGGGACTTTTTGGGTATTTTAAGTAGAGGGCAGAAAAGCTGGGGGAATACCTACTCCGGGTCAGACAGCCCGGGTATGAACCCTGCCTCTATCCCATACTCCCTGTGCTACCTGGAGCAAGCTGCTTCAACTCTCTGTGCCTCAGTTTCCTCATGTGAAAATGAGGAACCTAACAGAACCTATACCAGAGGATTTTGTGAGGATTAAGTCAACAAAAACAAGCCAAGTGGCTTAAACTTGGTATTCAACGGATAAGCGTCAGCTCTGAGGACACTGCCATGATGCAGGCCAGAAGCACATGGCGGATGGGGGAGCCCTTTATGAGACCGCTGGAAGTCAGGGGTGGGGAGGTGCTTGGACTAGCTGTGGAAATGACAAAGAATGGGTGTCATCACAGCGGACATGCAGAACAGAGCAGAGAGAAGCCTGGGAAGACCACGTGAGGTTTGAAACCGGGAGTCACAGTAACAGCAGCACTGACGCGGGGCGCTTGGGAAGCAGACCTGGTCCCCTGCGAAGGCTGGACCCTGGTGGGAAGGTGATGGATCTGTTGCATGAGGCCCTTGGCAGGACAGGCTAGGACCCCGCTGCAGACGGATCTGGGAGCCAAATCAGTGTTTTTACACCCAAAGGAAAGAGCTCATTCAGCTTCATTTATACCAGACCAGTTCCCCCGGCCCACGCAGTGATTATTTCCATTTATGTACTAAAAACTTCCCAAACCGCAAGCTGGAAAGTGTCGCCTTCCCTGACTCCAAGTGGGGAAAACCCTGGGACAGATGGGTCTGCCGGGAAGTCCAGAGAGACACGAGCTCTGGCCAGCCGGGTCGGCAGTCTGAGGCCCAGGGTCCCCCCAAAACGGCCTGCTCGCCCGGGCACTGACCTGGTCGTCGGCAATGGCTTTGGCAAACCGGGCACAGTCCAGCTGCAGGTAAATATCCGTCAGTTGGTCCAACAGCTTCTTTGGTTCAAAGCCGTACTTCTCGGGGTTTTCAACTTTCAGGTCACGGCACTTGGGGCCACAGAGTTGCTGAAGATTAAAGTTCAGCATTGCGGCCAATCGGGGTCCAAGTTCCTAGGGAATCACAGGGTAAGAGGACATTTCATGCTGTTGAGACAAGCGGGAAGGACCAAAACTCCCATTTCAGTGGAGGAACAGGAATTGGCTGGATTAATCTTTAAAGAATCCCTGAGAAGTTCTGTGAGTCATAACGCTGAAGGACGTTTATATTCAAAACTTTCTTTATTCTCCATCTCTAATCCAGTAGTTCTAACACCTAATAATGTCACAGGTTGGCGGAATATCTATAAATATGAGCAGAAGGCAACCTTTTCTTTAAATTCATGCTTTCAATGAGAAAAACAAGCATCACTCCAAATTCACCAAGAAGCAGGTAAGAGGTAAAATCACTCACAATTCCATCTCAAATAATTTATTATAGTTTCCTAATAATCAAAGCCTCACTGAATTAGGAATTCCTGAACAGAAAATAAGACACGTTTTTAGTGCAGGGATTGGCCAACTGTTACCTGCAGGCCGAACCTGGCCCGATGCTTGGTTTTATAAAGTTTTATTGAAAAGGCCACACTTAGTTGTTTATATACACTGTCTGTAACTGCCTTCGTGCTACAACAGCCAAGTTAAGGAGCCGTGCCAGACGGTGTGGCCCACAATGCCTAAGTGTTTACTATCGGGGCTTTGTAGGAAAAGTTTAAAGAAATTCCATTTGCAAGCCCCAGGGAAGCAAGGGTCTGAACTGTCTTGTTTAAATTAGTTGTGGCGTTTGCATGCTTTCAACAGTGAGCTCGGCTCTGTTTCACGTTCCACCGCTCTTTCACGAAGAGCTGTGAAATGGAAAATAGACAGAGGAGAGACGCATCGCTGAGAGGCACCCAGGCCAGCGTGTGGTGAGAATGGGGGGCGGAAGGCTGAACGTGGACAATGGAGGAAATGAGAAATAAAATGACGTTCCACTGTAAACCTGTTTCCGTATCTCCAGGCAATTAACAACCAGCTCCCTGGCCCCTTCCTTGCCCTCCTCCCCACCCTTGTCCTGGCCACACCATGAAGCATCCACGCTGTGTGGCACTGGGAGAGCAGGGGGCCAGTGCAAAGCAGTGGTCTTCAGTTAGGACACTCGGTTTCTATTTCAGAAGCAGGACCCAGGTCTCACTAACAGCACAAGGCCAAAAATCCTGACTACCTTCGATCTGTCATAAACCCTAATCATGGCTCTCATTACCCTCTGGCTTCTTGAGCGTAACAAAGCTACAACCAGGAGAACCAAAGCTCTTACCCATTATCAATGATTTCTACTTACTATACTCTAATTTCTAACAGATGCTACTTTCTACTTTTCCTACAAATAAAATACAGGCATCAATAACGATAAAAATATGTCACAGCTTCGGCATTAATAACCCCATGTGCTATGTAGGCAGAAAGCGAATTACGTTATCTTGGAAGAAAGCGTTAGCAGACTTCGGTCTCTCCCCAGAGCGCCAGAGCACTCAGAACTGGGAACAAAATCAGCATGGAGCTTTCACTTAGCAACTTGGAGCTGAAACGTCCAGGCTCTCAACGACTACTTTTCACGACAGAGGCCGGAACCTGACCATGAAATCGGATACCCAAAATAAAACACCTCGAAGTTTCTACTCACCGGCCTGAGGAAGGGCTTCTGGACCTGCTTCGTGAGGATATGGAACATGTCCACGGTTTCTGTTGCCAGGGCAAGATAGGAGCGGGACACACGCTCGTCCTGAGCCAGCTGGGACTGACGGGCTTGCTGCTGATCCTAGGAAACATGGAGCAGAGGCCAGGCCAAGGTCAGCCCCGGCCAGGAGCTCACCAGCACGCCAAGTGTGAAGGAAAACAGGACAAGTGCACAGCAAAACCCACATGCTGAGGGAATGAGAAGAACCCAAAAGAGAGAATTTTCCAGGTAACTAAGGTTTATTCTTTTCAGCATGAGAACTCTCAGGACTCTGGGTAAGGTGACCCTGGCACATTATTTCACTTACATGAGCCCCGGTTTCCAGTGATAAAAGAAGTCACCTTCAGCTTCTGTGTGGGATGAAGTAAGTGGACCTTCCCTCCGCCTGATACACGCGGTTGCTTATCAAAGATAGTCTGTCTCCCTGAGTAACAACCTGTAGTCACTATTATTTTAAAAACATGAGTTGTGCTATGCTAGGATACCAAGGCCCAGAGGTTTTGCCTCTACACCAAGTGCCCACAGAGTGCTAAGATTTTGAGTTTCATCTCGCCCTGCTCTCAAGGCTGTCTCCCCTGACAACCGTCAGCATGCTTGCCTCTGGCACCGTCCTCCTCCTCCAATTCTGCCCTGGGCTGGGAAACAAGATAATAAGGTGTGTTTGACTCCTGGGTAAAGCCAAGTGGAGCACTGAAGGCTCTGAGATGGAGAAAATCCCCAGAAACAGCAGTAAAGACGGAAATTCTTATATCCCGGCTCAGAAAGTAACTAGAGCAGCTGACACCCTGCATGGGGAGCCTGGGGTAGGGCCGTCTGCGTGGCTGTGTGGGGGAGGTGGTGCAGCGATGCTGGGTAACCTGCCCACTGCCCCGTTGGCCCAGAATGCGCCTACAGAACACATGTTGAAGCAGGAAGACACAAGAACAAGGTGAGAACTAGTGCAGTGCGTGTCTGCGTGTCACACGCACTCCTCCGCACACGGTCTCCAGGCCCCGGTCCAGGCCAGGCCCCCCTTCAGACGCTGGAGCGCGGAACGCGACCGGTGAGCTCGCGGGCCTCATGGAGCCTGGATTGCAGGCAGGGAGAGAAGCAATCAGCAAACACCCACACGGACACATAACAAGTCTGACAGCGACGGAGAAAAAGAAAGCAGGAAAAGAAGAGAGAAAGAGTGGCCAGGGACAGCCTCCAAGGAGATGACATGCAGGTGGATGGTCTGGAGGAGGAGACTCGGCAGAAATCTGGGGCAACAGTGCTCCCAGCCAAGGGACGAGCACGCGGGTCAGCAGAAGGGCGAGGAGGCCCACGTGGTTCGGGAGAGTGACAGGGAAAATGGTGGGCCGGGGGCCCGCTCTAATTCGGGACCGGACTCTGAGTGAGAAGGGAAGCGTGGCCAAGTTCGGAGTCAAGTGGTGATAATAAGCAGACAAGTTTTAACAGCGTCCCTGCGGTATGGACCCGGACAGCAGGAAGGCCGCGGGGCCAGTCAGAGAGGCTATAGCAGGCCAGGTGAGAGAGGGCTGTGGGACAAGAGTCAGACACAGGTATCTGAAGATTGAGTCTTGAGGCGTTTGTTGAAGGAGAAGAATCAGGAAGACTCCAAAGTGTCGAGTCCAAGCATCTAACAGAGTGTGGCTGTCCCTCAGTGAGGCGGGCAGACACGAGGAGATGTGGAGGACACCATCAAGGGACCCTACTGGACCACCGGGCAGAGGGGCAGGTCAACGGCGGGTAGGTGCGGCAGGTCTGGAGTCAGGAGAGACAGGAGCTGAGGAGACACATTCTGGAAGCTTTAATAAGACACAGACCGTTAAACAGATGAGATCCCCTCGCAGTGACTTTGAGCCGGGGGTATCAGGTGTGTGGGAGTGTTTCTGGCTGCCTGATGACTCGGGAGGAGGGAACCTCATTGGCCAAAGATGTCAAATGTCCTACCACGGATGGTGCGGTCTCTCGGGATAAAGAACGCCTGCCACCGCCGAGTCCCAACCAGCACCCTCGCCGAGAGACCCCAGCCTCAGCAGCGAGCGTGGGGAGCGGAGGGGGCGCCGGAGGGCTGAGCAGCGAGCGGAATGCTCCAGCGTTTGGAGGACAGGGCGGTGAGGAGCAGGCAAGGCAGGGAGGTGGACGGCAGAAAGGGACTTCAAGGTCTACATGACTTTGGGAACAGCAATCGTTCAGGATTATTTATGACGTCTCTCATCCATGAACACGGAGAAGTCAACAGGAATTGTTCGGTTGTCTCATGAGCAAATGCTAGCGCGCACGGACTGTGGGTAAGGTATCAAGCCACAGGCCTGTCTCCCACTGTCTCTGGCATGAGCCGGTCTGAGCCGAGCATCACGACTGGCATAACGAGGGTACAGAGGTACCGAGAAAGGTGAGGCCCTCAGCTGCACCGACTGGGGTAGTCCAACCCTGAGGGACGATCAAGCCAAGACCTTACTCAAAGAATGGGCAGGATTTCAATACAGAAAAATGGAGAATAGAGAATTGTGGACAGGAGTGTCTCAAGGCACACAGAAAAACAGGGGCTCAACAGTCCCGAACTACGTGGTGACCTTCAGCAATCCTCCTCACTGCTCTTCCGCAAAGCAGGGATCGTCTCTGGTTCACGGACAAGGATACAGAACTCTGAGGGCATGGCAGTGTCCGTTTTCAAACCCAGGTAGCCTGGACTCCAAATCTGGAGCTCTTTCAACCGGCCTCATCTGTTTCCCAGACAGTTCTGCAAGGGCCTGGGGACTGGTCCCGGCAGGATCCAACGGACCGGAATGCGAGGTAAGCTTGGAAGGCTCTCTTGGAGCTACTGTACGTAGGGAGGCCACGGAGCATCGAGCCTGGGCTGCCTCCCGCCTGTGGGACGTGGGGAGGCACGGGAGGGAGGTTTTGGAGGCACAGTAGCAAAACAATTCAATGGGTGTTTAGACATAAATACGAGGGTAGAGGGTAGGCCGGACTCGGGCAGGTGCCAGGGCAGTATACAGGACAGAGAGGACAATGACCACGTTGTCTCAAGAATGTGATGAGAGGGGTTCCAGCAGCGTGGAAGCTCGGACTCAGGGAATCCAGCACTCATGGGCCCTGGGCAAAGCCCTCAGGAGGTTTCAGTCTATGGTGTAAGATGTGAGCTACAGCAAGATGTAAACTTCCCATCAAAGCCGCAGGAATACTGGGAATGAAAACCTTTCCGAAATGTGCTTTCATATGTGCTTACCTTATCTTAGGCGTTAGAAGCTCGATAGCATTTTTGTTTTGAGGATGCTATTGCTAGTCAAGAAAAAAACAGTCCTCCCTACTTTTCCCAGAGAACTCTTTCTGGAAAGCAGTTCTGATTCTGAGCCTGAGAACACCAGGCACAGAACAGACCATCTACACGGCTACAGTAAATGTCAGAAAAGCGTGTCAGCGTGCCATCACCGGTGCGGCAGGAGTTCCTCATGCAACCTGGCAAGACGACCCTCTCTTCCATTAATAACTGAACACAAAAACCAAGATCAACTGGAAGGAAAAACCTCCCACGGGAGGCACACCGTTGTCCAAAGGAAATCACAGGAGCAGATCAAGCGCATGGTCGGCACCGCATCCTAGGGATTCACTTCCTACTTTCGGAAATTGACATCAACACATTCAGACAACAAGAGCGCTTCTCCAAGAAAGCCCTTTGACATCAAGGAGGCAAGAAAGCTTTCAGGACGCATTTGACAAGCCTTCTCAGTTCATTTCTTGGCTTTAGACCAGGTGTCTATGTTTACCCCTCCCGCAACCCTCGGAGGGAACCTCTCGGAAGCCCACAGGTGGGAGGGGACAGGTAGCGACAAGTCAGATCCCTGTCACCAGGGCCCCATGAGTGCAGCCCAGGAGCAGAGCTCTGCCCAGGGCCCGAGGCAGCTCCCCGGCCACAGCTGCCCCCCGCGTCCTCACCCGGGGCAGCTGGTCCCACTGGTCTTTGTTCTTCATCTCTTCCTGCACTTCGTGGATCCGCTTCAGAGACTCCAGACTTTCATCAAGCAGAAATGTCGTGTCATTTATCAGCATGTTTATGTAGCGGACGAACTGCTTCCCCGAACTGAAAAGGCAATTACAGTAGACACGGTCATACAGCGCCCTGAGGCCAAAGGTGGCGGCAGACCCCAAAGAAAACGGGCCCCGGAAGCTTGCCCACTGCCCCGGCACCACTCCAATATGGCGGAGGTCAAGGTCTGTGAAGTCTCTCCTTGGATGTTACTACCCCTTTTAGCTAACTGTGAGACGCTCACTGCAGCGGTGCACTGAGGGGGACCCTGCCTGGTCAAGAGAGCCAGTTGCTAGTACTTCACGATTCTGTGAGCAGATTCCAATGAGAGCTTAAGTCTGGCCCCAGTGTTGAGTACGTACAGCCTGGAAAGCCAGCAAATGCTGAATTTCTCCCCCGCTTCAGAGAGCAGGTTTACCAGCACGTCCCTGGCTCATTGTCTCAATGACTTTAAGTAGAAAAGACACCCCTCGGGGGTGCCTGGGTGGCTCAGCGGGTTAAAGCCTCTGCCTTCGGCTCAGGTCATGATCCCAGGGTCCTGGGATCGAGCCCCGAGTCGGGCTCTCTGCTCAGCGGGGAGCCTGCTTCCTCCTCTCTCTCTCTCTCTCTCTCTGCCTGCCTCTCTGCCTGCTTATGATCTCTGCCTGTCAAATAAATAAATAAAATCTTAAAAAAAAAAAAAAGACACTCCTCCAGACTAGAAAATAGGTTTTTTAAACTCACCAAGAAAGCACAATTACCCACATATAAGAGACAAGAGAATTACCAATACAGTGATTCCTTATTATAAAGTCGCAGTGAAGGAAAGCTAGAAGCTGCGATATTGATACAGGAGAATATTAACTCACTTTCTAGAACCTGAAGCCTCCAGTCTATAAAACTGTCCTGCATCTCCCGTCACAGTGGAGGGCTCACGGGCGCACTCAGATGCTGATGCACCATGAGGCTTTGTAACTGTAAGATTAGTAGAGCAAAGATCTCCATACACTTTAGGATCTACTGCTGTGTAATCAGGGGTGGGAAGCCCATGCCTGGGGAGGAGAAGTTCCTGCGAACAAGGGTGGGAAGCTTGGATCTCAGGAACAAGCAAAGTTCAGGGCAAACACTTCCACCCAGCACCAAGCAGACCAAGCCATGGGCCTGTGTGGTCTAAGCTGGTGCCAGGGTTTGTGGGAACGTAATTCTGACCATAACAGCAATTCTCAGAAAGAGAATGAACTTGAAGAGCTTACGTTACAGAAACCTATCTAACAAACGGTTCTCCACTGGTAATACGAAATCATACTGACTAGTAACTCAGCTAACAAGTGACAGTGAGACTTGCTCAGTCATCTAGCAGGGACTGCAAAAGATCCAACCAGACAGGATAAAATTTCTCCTGAAGAACAATTCAAGAGTTCAACATTTTCATCTCCCTTCTTTTAAAAAGCATCTTTCTTTTTACGGTAACTTAGATGAAATGACTAATGTCCAGATTTAAGGAGCCACTAAAATTTCAGGTAGGTAATAAAAAATCCTTAATCAAGATTTAGGGCCTTATTACAAAGAATGACATTTGAAATAACCCCAACCTTCCTTCCAAATCTAAAGTCTTCCTAACATTTTGCATCTAAAGCTTGACATCATATTCCAGAACACTCTACAATCTCATTCCAGTCCTCTGACAACTTCACTTAACACTGTAATCGCAGAAACACCAAAAAACACTTCATGGATCATCTCAGAATATTTATAGATTCTTTATGTATACATACCATCCCCAAAGTGTCTTGACAGCTCTAAAGCTTGGCGATATCTTGCAAGCACAGACATTTAGTTAACCCTGCTCACATGTAGCAGAATGATCTAGAAAACTTAAAGGAGGCTGAGACCAAGCCAACGGTCCAGAAGAACCAGCTCGGAAAGATTTAAGCATCACCCTACCCGTGATTCGCAAGCGACAAGCGGTGACATCGGGCGCCCAATACTCACTTGAACTCCTCCATGAAGGTGCCATGGTGAGCTATGTTTTGCCAAAGGCTTTTAAAAATGGTGCTGATGTGATAGCGGATGGTGAACTTGTCGTAGAACTCACTGGTGGCTCCGGTGTGCTCAACGTCTAGAGAAGACAGAGAGAGGGACTGAAGCATGGGGACCATCTACCTTTCTAAAAGCAGTCGCTGTGCCCAGGATATTACCGAGTGCATGCAAATCTGTAAATACAGGATGTGACAAGACTGTGCCCCTATCTCTCACACGTAAGGCAGGACAGAAATGAGGAGGCGGTTCTGGAGAAACAGGCTTCACAGTGAAGGTCTGGCAATGACACAACACCAAATGAACTGGGCTCGCAAAGCGGCTTAGCACCCCTGGCACAGCGCCCACTCATCAATGACCAGGAAAAAACAAAACAAAACAAAAAAACGGGTGGAACTTTCTTAAGGGTCACATACCTCTTAAATGTGACTACCAGCCTACCTCATTTTACTGCGTTTTATAAGTTGTTTTTTCTTTCTTTCTTTCTTTCTTTCTTTTTTTTTTTTTTTTACGAATTGAAGGTTTGTGGCAACTTTGCTTCAAGCAAGTCTATCGGCCCCATTTTTCCAACAGCGCTTGCTCACTTCGTGTCTCTGGGTCACATCTTGGTAATCCCCGCAATATCTCAAACTTGCTCATTATCATTGTATTTGTTACGGTGACCTGCGATCAGTGATGATGACTCGCTAAAAGCTCAGATGATGCAGCAATAAAATACTTATTTAAAAGATTTTATTTATTTGAGAGTGAGCAAGTGAGCGAGCATGAGCGAGGGGAGGGGCAGAGGGAGAGGGAGAAGCAGCCTCCCTGCGGAGCGGGGAGCCGGACGTGGGGCTCGATCCCGGGACCCTGGGACCATGACCTGAGCCGAAGGCAGATGCTTAACTGACTGAGCCACCCAGGTGCCCCAATAAAATACTTTCAAAGTAAGATATATACATCGTTATTTTGGACAGAATGATAATGTACACTTAACAGACCACAGAGCAGTGTAAGCATAACTTTCATATGCATTGGGAAAGAGAAGACTCCATCTGACTTCCTTTATTCTTGTATTTGCTTTATTACAGAGGTCTGGGTCTGCATCTGCAATATCTCTGAAATATGCCTGTATTATTTTAAATACTTCTGATAATTAACATTTTCGAACATGTACCAAAATAGAGACAAGCTCGGTAAAATCCCATGTGCTCATCACTAATTTACCAATCACCGACATTCCCGTCCTGCTAATTAAAATGGAACAAAGGTTAGACTTAGGTATCCAAAAGACAAAGGGCTGAGATACGAGAAGTTCCTGAGTTTACGACAAGTTTTAAAAAGAGGGAGGGGCACCCGGGTGGCTCAGTGGGTTAAAGCCTCTGCCTTTAGCCCAGGTCATGGTCTCGGGGTTCTGGGATCGAGCCCCGCATCGTGCTTCCCTTCCTCTCTCTGCCTGCCTCTCTGCCTACTTGTGATCTCTCTTTGTCAAAAAAATAAAATCTTTAAAAAAATAGAAAAAAATTAAAAATAAAAAGAGGGAAAGCTGTCAAATAAAGACAATAAGGCTCAAGAAAAAGATAAAAATGTAAATTAAAATAAGATACCATTTTTACTTCGCAGGTTTTACAAAAATGACCAAACTGCGTGTGAGAATCTGGGTGAGAGGTACCTTCTGACTGCTCATGAGAATGAACAGGGACACAAACTCTTGAAGGCAATGTGACAATTTGGATCACAAACCACCAACAAGCCCATCTCTCTGACCCACCAATTCTATTCCAGAAAACACATGCAGGCAGGTTCGAAGACTGATCTCCCAGGATACTCTCTACACTACTATTTGTATTAGAGAAAAAACATAAATGCAAATGCCCAATGGAGAACATGAAAAAATATTTGTCATACAGGAAGTGAAAAACACAGGTTACTGAATGGGGCCAATCATATTTAAAACCACACACACACACACACACACAGATACCACATACATACATACATACACATACATACATACATACATACACATACATACTGGCTGGCAAAAATACAGACCAAAATGTTAACAGAGATTCTGAGTGCAGAGACTATCAATAACTTCTTTTTTCTTCTTGGTATTTCCTATATTTTGCAATGAACATATTTTTTTGGTGACAAGAAAGGTTATTTAAAAATGAGAGGCATAAGATAATTAACACCTATCATACAAAGACCTAAAAGCACACATGCATATTCATTAGGTCAAGCTTTCTTTACAATGAACTAAGTGTCATTTTGTTAACTGCAGGAAAAAGTGTGAACTGGGGCGTCTGGGAGGCCCAGTCAGTTAAGCGTCTGACTCTTGGTTTCGGCTCAGGTCATGGTCTCACAGGTGGTGAAACTGAGCCCTGCATCAGGCTCTGCGCTCAGTGGAGAGTCAACTTGAAGATTCTTTCCCTGCTCGGGTGTGCTTTCACTCTCTCAAATAAATAAATCTTTAATTAAAAATAGTGTGAACTGAAGTGTGGAGAGCCGAAGCAAACGGAGTCTACTTGGGAAAGACGCTGGGGGGCTGATACAGAGCCTCTCATACCCTCAATATCGCCCATAATACCTCTACCACTTCCTGGGCACAGCAGAAGCCAAGTACTGCCAACATTTAAAAAACTTCACTCCTCATGCTCCCTCGAAACTGCGGCAGCCCGAGTTCGACTTCCCAAGTTCGAGTTCTAGAAGGCCTGAAATGAACTAGATCCTGGGGGGCCTGATGCCCTGCTACTCGCTGTGCTCCCTCCTGTAGGTCTTCTTGTTCGATTTCACTAAGCTGCCCAGGCCTCAAGGCCTTTACACTTGCTGTCCCGGTTGCCTGCCAATGCTGCGCGCAGATCTTCATGTGATTCCGTCTCATGTTACTCCAAAGTCACCGTCTCAGAGACCTTCCCTGACTGCACTCCTTAAAGCAGCATCGTGCCACTCCCACACCCACCGTCTGGAAGTATCTTATTTATTGATTCCATGTCTATTTCTCAACGAGAACACCGGGCTCACGAGCCATCTGCCCCACCTTAGCATCAAAATCAGGGCTGACACACAGTAGGAGCGTTGTAAATATTTGCAGTCAGAGACTCAATCTACTTGGGTTAATGCTGGCTTTGTTGATTCAGAGCTCAGTGTTCTTCTAAGTTCTGAGTAGCCAGGTTGGGAAAGCTGTTCTTTAAGGAACTGACTGCTGGTATAAATAAAGTACTCTGATTTTGGAACTTAATTTTATTTTTGAAACAAAAATTTGATCTTAAGTATTTCCAAAGCTAGGATATTCTCTAGGAGTAGAAAAGAGGAGCTTGGTCCATATGCCCATCTCTAGTTCATGTCTGAGACTCTAGACCTCAATCAACAGGACTTTTTGTTTTTTTTTAAGATTTTATTTATTTATTTGACAGAGATCACAAGCAGGCAGAGAGGGGAAAGCAGGCTCCCTTCTGAGCGGAGAGCCTGATATGGGGCTCGATCCCAGGACCATGAGATCATGACCTGAGCCAAAGGCAGAGGCTTAACCCACTGAGCCACCCAGGCGCCCCTCAGCAGGACTTATTATGGGGTTGATGCACGAGTGGGGGGCTGTCTGTGGTGTCCCACGGGAGGGCTCTCTGGGGACTGGTCCCCTGCTACCACAGCAGTAACAATGCATCAGTCAGGAGCACCTATGCTAAGGCCCACCTGCTGAAGTTGCTGCCATGCACTAGCTGTTGACCTTCAGCAAGCTTCTGGACCTTTCTAAGCTTCAGGCTCCTCATTTGGAAAACGGGAGATATTTATAGCACCCATCTTGATGATGGCTGTGCCGATTAAGTGAAAGGATTAGTGAGGATTCAATAAGTGGTGGCTATTATTAGTATGGTATCATCTCTCTAGGACTGCAGACGTGGTCCAGGGCCAGAGGGTACACCGCTTGGTGGCAAAGGGGAAAAGGAGCTTCTCAGATCTTACTAGTGGGGCTCTGCCAGAACCAGCACGCATTTCCTAAGAGGCCCACCCCCCTGCACCCCCATGCTTTATTCCAAAGCCACAGTGACAGGCCCAGGGCACTTACTGAGTATAAAATACATTTAACTAGGGGCGCCTGGTGGCTCAGTGGGTTAAAGCCTCTGCTTTCAGCTCAGGTCATGATCCCAGGGTTGTGGGATTGAGCCCCACAACGGGTTCTCTGCTCAGCAGGAAGCCTGTTTCTCCCCCCCACCCCCGCCAGCCTCTCTGCCTACTTGTGATCTCTTGTCTGTCAAATAAATAAATAAAAACTTTTAAAAAACACATTTAACCAAACACTTTTTACTTTTAATACTAACAATACATGTTTACTGCAGAGTAACTAAGTTCAGATTTTTTTTTTTTAGATTTTATTTATTTATTCATGAGAGACAGAGAGAGAGAGAGGCAGAGGGAAAAGCAGGCTCCCTAGTCCTCTGATACGGGACTGGATCCCAGGACCCTGGGATCATGCATGACCTGAGCCGGAGACAGACACTCAACTGACTGAGCCACCCAGGTGCCCCAGTTAGATAATTTTTTAAAAAGGAAAAGAAATAAATCCATTCACAGTTCTACCATTCAAAACGAACCATCTCTCTGTTACTATTGTGGTATACGTTCTATCGTACAGATGTCTACCAACACGAGGTCCTACTGTATATACTGCTTCATTACTTGGCATTTTCTTTACTTCTGATGACTTAACCATTTAATGTAAATAACATTATTCTTCACAGCTCATATAGACCCACTTTATGGATAAACTGTAATTTACTTAATTCATCCACAGCTGGAAGAAATTTAGGCTGTTTTTAGCATTTTTCCCTGCACTGCATTATAAATGATGCCGCAGTATCACTGTAAACATGCACACGCATTCGTAATTACCCCCACGGAACAGATGACTAGAAATTAAGTTTGCATGCACAAGGGTGAGCTATTTATTTAGTTGCTGTCTCTCGGCCCCCAATCCGCCCTTTTTACTAGGCTTCGCCAGGCTGGGGCTGGGGCTCTGCAGGCTTCCCCTTGCCAGCAGGACCTCCGTTGGGTTCGCCAATAGGGGGCGCTGCAGGAGAACTGGAAAACCACAGGCGAGCAGGGACCTGGTCCCTGGCCAGAGGCTGGCTGCTCCTGTCTGCAACAGTGGTTCTTTCTCCCAGTAGCACCAGCCGCTTCCAGTTTCCAGCTCAGGTCCACCATGGCAGAACTAGTAAGACTGCGCTCCTCGGAGACACCAGCTGGCCAGCGCCCTTCCTCGGAGACCTAGGTCCCCGTTCTGTCCTGGTCCTCATTTGAGCTAGTTTACTAACTCCAGCCTCTTCCTTGGGTTCCCCCAGCTCTGGAGACAGATGATGGCAGCTTCCTGAACTCGTAACCTGCCTTATGCCAAAGCTCTCATTTGCCTTTCTGTCCTCCAATATCTACTTGACTAGTTCTTTATATGGCTGCTCCCTGAACAACACAGGCTTGAACTCCACGGGGCCACTTACACATTTTTTTCAATAAATATATACACGAGACCATAAATGTATTTACTCTTCTTTTTCTTTTTTTTTAAAGATTTTATTTTTATTTATTTGAGAGCGAGCAAGTGAGCACGAGTAGGGGCAGAGGGAGAGGGAGAAGCAGATACCCCGCTGAGCAGGGAGCCTGATGTGGGGCTTGATCCCAGGACCCTGGAATCGTGACCTGAGCTGAAGGCAGAGGCTTAACTGACTTGAGCCATCCAGGTGTCCCTCTTCCTTAAGGTTTTCTTCATAACGTTTTCCTTCCTCTAGCTTACTTTCTCTTAAGAATATAGTGTGTAATACATATAACGTACAAGGGATGTGTTAACTGATGGCTGATGTTACCGATAAGGCGCTACACAGCAAATCTAACATTCTGGTCAAGAGCAGGCTGTTAATGAATCTGGGGGAGTCAAAAGGTGAAAGTGGATTTTTGGCTGCACGGTGGCGGGGAGGGGTCTCTAACTCCTACATTGCTCAAGAGTCAACTGTCTATTTTCCTTACTGGACCTTGATACATAGGATATATACATTTTTAGGGCTTTTGGTGTGGACTGCCAAACTGCCCTTCAGAAGGGTTTTAGCGGGTGCCTGGGTGGTTCAGTGGTTGGGCATCTGCCTTAGGCTCAGGTGATCCTAGGGTCCTGGGATCAAGGCTCCCTGCTAGGTGGGAGGCCTGCTTCTCCCTCTCCCTCTCCCACTCCGAGTGCTTGTGTTCCCTTTCTTACTGTCTCTGTCTGTCAAATAAAGTTTAAAAAAAAAAAGGTTTTACCAATTTACATTCTCAGAGAATTTCATAGCGCTGATTCCGCACACCAGCTAATGGGGAGATGAAACAGTATTTGTAGATTAGTGTAATTCGCTACAACTATGTTATAAGCACTAGGTATTCTCATCTTAAAAAATAAATTTAAAAAGAAAGAAACAGGACGCCTGGGTAGCTCAGTCGGTTAAGCTGCTGCCTTCGGCTCAGGTCATGATCCCAGGGTCCTGGGATCGAACCCCGCATTGGGCTCCTTGCTTGGCGGGGAGCCTGCTTTCTCTCCGCCTCTGCCTGGCACTCTGCCTGCTTGTGCACTCTCTCTCTCTCTCTGACAAATAAATAAAATCTTAAAAAAGAAAGAAAGAAAGAAAGAAAGAAAGAAAGAAAGAAAGAAAGAAAGAAAGAGAGAGAGAAGGAAAGAGGTAAAAAGAGATACCTTACTGTTATTTTAAGAAATGCAGAATTATCTCCAACTAAGCCTGATATGTGCAAGACACTGAATGAGGTCGTGTCCCGTACACATGTGACTCATCATTTGTACCTGAATGGCCCTCTCTACCAGGGAGGGAGGTCTTCCCTACCAGGACTAAGGGGAGCAAAGAAGAAGCTTTTTACCCAGGAGTGTTCCCTCTGCTGTTGCCAAAGCAAGGATGTTAATGAAACTTCAAGTGCGTGTCTACTTGCTTTAGCATTAAGAGCAAATCGGTAGGCTGGGAAGAAAAAAAGCCTTTTTTTTTTTTTTCATTTTTTTAAGTAATTTCTATACTGAACGTGGGGCCTGAACTCAGAAACTACAGATCAAGGGTCACATGATCTCCCAACGGAGCCAGCCAGCCAGCCAAACTCTTACTAGATGTTACAAAGCAGTGGTGACAAAGGACAAAGGAGGCAGACGGACCACTGGAACCCTCAGTAGCGCAGAGAGAGGGGATGGCACCAGCTCCAAAGGAGCAGGAGCAGGTCTTGGTCAACAGGGAAAGGATGGTTACCACTGAGGGCTGTCATGACACAGTGGAATCCTCAAACTTCTGCGGCTGCAGGAACAGCAAGCAGCCGCACTCACGGATAGCCATTGTTTCTCCCAAGAGTGCGGCAAGTACACTCTACTAAATGCTAAAGACACCGAGTGCCCAGGATGTGCTAGGTTCGACAGAGGACAGACAAGATGTACTTCCTTTCCTGCAACATGTACCAGGTGGAAGGAAAATGTGCCATTAGTACAATCCTATGCTTTTGCTGGCAGACAGGTCAACGGGTCTCAAGGTCATCAGCTTGATGAAAACACACTGTAGTTCAAAAGCCAAACGAAGCATAACAATTCGGAATCCAATTCATCCGGCAGTGGAGGACCTTCCTGGAGAGTCTGATGCATGCTCTGTCTGCTCGCCAATGGGACCCAGCGCCTGGCCATCGGCAGGTGCTCAATAAACCTTTGTAGATTTAGTGAATGAGAGAAGACTCCCTGATATCCTGATTCCACTGATCTGAGTGGGGCTCAAAAATAAACATTTTTAACAAGCTCCTTGTTTTACTCATGCTCTAGAAACTCTGAGTTAATACGACAGATTTCTAAAAGTAGCTACAAGTGCATCTGACTTACAGTGGATCCTGCCCCATCATCAGGGACCAGCTCGCAGAATGGTCCATGGGATACGTCCACTGATCTAAACTAAGCAACAGTAACCTGTTTTGCCAGTGGCGGGGTTAAGCAGGTTACACTTGGAAGAGGCCATCAGGATATTAGCTACCAGATTTAGAGCAATTCCCACCCACTGGCTTTAGAGGGCCTTGCCTACCCAAATACCCGGAACCTACCGGTATAAAACTTCATCAGTGAAGGGACCAACAATTTGGTGGAGAGAGGATGGTTTTCGATCATTTCAAAAAACTTCTGGGTTCGTGGCTGAACGGCAGGGTTGGTCATAAACATGACTTCGACCAGTTTGGCCACCAGATACGGATTTCGGATGTAGTTCTGGTTACACAACATCACAACGAGGAACGTCACAATGTCCTGAGTACAGGGTTCATAAAGCACCTGAGGAGAGTATCTGGAGAAAGGCAAAAAGAGTAAGAAATGAAGCTCCCAGAAGCTCTAGCCAGGTAGATGCTGGGGTCATCAAGCAGGGAAGGGGCCAATAGGTCTACAAGCCAAGATGAATTCCCTTGAACTTGCTGAGTTTCAAATGACTGTTGACTTTACAACTAGACAGACTTTAAATCTACTGTGTCTATTGGCTAAAGCATGTTACAGTAACTTACATTATTTTAGGAAATAAACCAAAGCCACCATGATTAAATTATGGGGTAAGGTTCATAAAAGAGTTTTTTGTGTTTTTTTTTAACAAAAAAAAAAAACCTTAAAAAAAATTTTTTTTTAAATGATTTTATTTTTAAGTACTCTCTACACTCAGTGTGGGGCTCAGACTCACGACCTTGATCCGCATGCTCCACTGACTGCGCTAGCCAGGGGCCCCTAAAAATTTTTTCTGGTAGTTGTTTTAATTAAACAAGCAAGCAAACAAACAAACTTCAAATTCCAGTTTTAAACTCAAGCCATTTCCTTGTAAGCTTTCTCCAGTGTTATAATTGAGAAAAATTTCAGTACAAAATATAGATGTGGGTATTTCTGGCTTCTGAATGTTCACTTAGATATTTATAAACTGTTTGCTCCTTCTGTTTCTCAGAAACACATACTCAATTATTAGAAATTCAACTCAGTTTTCAGGGAGTACATTCTTATCGGCATTGTTAATCCTGCTCCTGTCTTGAAGATATTATTGGAACTGGCTTAGTGCCAGAGCTGGATTTATTTTTCCAGTCTCCAGGCAGCATTCGCTTACAGCAGTTACACAGAATTTCAGGCATAAAATGGAGGGCTGCAATGTAGTTCATAATACAATGTACAAGCCACGTACAAAAACCAATTAGAACCATGTAGTATGTCAAAGGCACTTACTGTACAATAAAAAATAAAAATTCAGCAACATCTTCTACATAAAACTCAGGCAATGCTGCAAATACCTTGGGGACATCTGAGTTTAAAGGCAGTGTTATACTGTCAAAGAGAATAAAAGCACAAGTTAAAGAACAAAACCATGGCACCTGGAAACCACCCCCTAACCCCCCCGCTAACCAACTAACTAACCCCAACTAACCAACCGACCAACCAAAAAACCATAAAATCCTGGCACCTGAAACCCTAAGGACTATGACACGGCCATTACAAGTTAAATAATTTATTGGGGGGAAAGCCTCCTAGAACACAAATACGGAGAAGGTACATGAGCCAGGAGACCAGAGCCTGAAACGAACAGGGAAGAATGAAGACAGTGGATGAATTAGGGTGTGCAGGAGATGTTTCTCTTCTTACTGCTTTTCCGTTAAGGTTACTATAGCAAAATAGGAGGGAAACAGAAGGGTCATATTTGGTCATTTTACGCAATCCAATCTGTTTTGAGACAACAGAGCTGCACAATATTTTCGGCTCCTGCAGAGGGCGCTGGGCCAAACTTCCCAACATCAGTCGATCCAGAGACTTCATAGAAACAATAAACTAGTAAAACTGGCTGGGTATCTTCCTGCGCCCAGTCCCTGAAAGGACCCAATACTCTGTTATCTCCAGGTTTTAGTTTCCAACGTATAGATTTCCTTTTCTATCAATCTAGCCGATTTGTAAAAAAAGGACCAGGTCAGAATTAAACTAGGAGGTTTAATTAACCTCCCTTCTTAACTGTAATCACTGGGAAAACACTTATTAATATTACGGATTTTGTAGTCTATACAGGTACAACCTAGAAACTGAAGAACAGATTCTTGATAAAGTAAGGGTTTGGGTTTCAGCTATTGACTGAGGGACGGTGAAGACAACACAGCCGAGACAGGGAGGGCGGAGGGGAGGAGAGAGGGGCACACTCACTCGGGATAGGCGGGGTCCAGGATGCGGAGCAGCAGCTGGATGAGAAGGCCATAAAAATTCAAACATCTTCTCAGAAAGCTCTCATCAAGTAAACCAGCGTCAGCACAGGCCTTGCACCGTACCAGTTTCTGCAGAAGGAGGTACGCCCCCAACCCACAGATTAGTCGGTGGCCAAGTGCCGGCGGTGTCGACTGGCCAGGGAATGGGCCAGGAGATTTGAGGATCTAGGGTTTTCGTGAACTTCGTCTCTAATTAACTACAATATGCTGGTCACGTCCCCAAAGCTTTCCTTGTTCTGAGAGATACAGAAGTACGCCATGCAAACCACTGGGCGGAAGGCTGAGCACATAGTTCAGGTTCAAAAAGGAGTTCTTCCTGTCAGATTGAAATAGCTTGACTGGGGGACAGGGTTGATGGGCGTCAGACAGAGACGGTTAGTGGACAGAAGCCAGACAGATCTGCATCTGAATTCCAGGTCACCACTTCTGCCCCTGGACAAAATGCTTGTCCACTGATGGTCCCGCACCCGTCTCAGAGGACAGCTGTGAGAAGGAAACCCAGGCACGCATGCGCATCGGCGTGTCCATTTGAACAGTTTCCAGGCTCCTTCTGATAGGTCTGTGGGGTGCTCACGGGGGTCTACAGACACCAGAAAAGGGCTCCTGGTGTATTCTGCACCTCAGCAGGTCTTGTGTATTAGTAAATAAAGCAAATCTACCTTAACTTGCACCAGAAATCAAAGTTAAAATGTCCACATATCCTCCTACTAACCAACAGAAACCAGAATCCGCTAATACTCAGTTTTAGAATTTGAACAAAAACACAAGATAAATGCATAAGTAAGCGGTCTACACTCCCTTGTACAGCCTTTGCTCAGCATCCGTCTCACTGGCAGAAATCTTCCTGTCCACAGTTAGGTTCTGTGCAGTGGATCATTTTTAATGACAAATGAAGGAGGGACAAGGCAGGGGGGGTGTCTTCCCACGGCCACAAATCCACTCGGTTACACACTGTGAAAATGCATGGCTGGGACACTGGGTCACAGAGCTGGGGGGCAGTGGAGGGGGAGAACCTCGCAGAAGGGTTAAGTGAGGCAGGTGGAGGCCAACCGAGGACGATAAAACCAGGAAGAATTCACACTGCCACTGGCAAAGCACTTGCAGATTCTGTCCTGATTTAAATCCTGCAGGGAGACCGGGGTGAGATCATCAACTGGTTTGAAAGTCCTGTGTTTTATCTTCAGGGGAAAGAACGACAGAGGCAAAGGGACACTAGTGGCTCAGCCCAGGCACACATTCTGATAGGAAAACGGCTGCTGCGCAGCTGGGCTGCGGCGATCCCGATCAGCCGTACAAACCTTAAGCTGAGTTTTGCAACGCTTCAGCATCTCGCGGTGTCTGGTTGCCAGCGGGGAATCTTTCCATTGGCTTTCATTGTTTTTCAGATCTTCCACGGTTCTGAAACCAAGGACAAAAGGTCAAACACAAGAAGACACGCGGATGCTTCTTATCTACTTGCTGACCATGTTGAGGACCGTCAGACATCTCCTCCCACCCTTCAGCACCTTGAAAGTCAGAGTATTTCCTGTCATTCGTTGGCAGAACCTTTCTTAGGGTTCCTGATCTAATGAATGTCTTAAAATTGATGGTACTTTACATTTAATGACATTTAGTCATTTCTTTTGGAAAGAAATACATTATTTACATTGTTCCCTTATTTTCCTAGGAAGGAGAAAAAGAAGTCCCACCTGAAGGTTCACGGTTACTAGGCCTGGTCAGTTACCCCACACCAAAGGCTGGTTCAACACTGCCAGTGCCCTTCCCTCTTCTGCGACCCTTCCCTCCGCGTGGAATGCTCTTCTCTGAAATGATCTTTGCGGCACGCTCCTTCACTTCCTTCCTATGCCCACCCAAATATCAGCTGCCAGTCGGGCCATATGCGGCGTATTTTAGAGATTGGCTCACCTAATGCTCTATCAACCCCTCTCTGTTAAGACAATTATAGAAAACTGGAGGTTGGCAAATTTTGGGGAACTACACTTTCCCTGACTCCCTTGCTGCTGGTGAATCTGCCCACGACCTAAGCTTCCATCGAGAGGTGACCCCTCGGTGGAGGCAGAAGAGCATGCTGGGGGTGGCAGCCACACAGTGTTTCTGGAAGCACAGTGGCGGGGGAGTTCTGCCTGAGGCAGTGACAGAGGCTCTGCGGTCAGGATGAACCGTGGAGCAGCTTCCTGCCAGGTCAGGTTCAAAGGCGAACTCTGGGTACATACCTGAGCCCTCCCCAGAACTGCGACGGTCTGACAGACTGACTGCAGCCACGGAAACTGCCACACGGCACCTGTCTCTGCAGCCTGGGGTGAGGGAGGTGGGGCTGGAAGACGCTCAGAAGCCCCGCGGGACGGCTGACTGGCCTGGCAGCCCGCCTCTAGGGAGCCGCACGGGACAGGCTTGTGACAAAGTGCAAGGAAGCCTTGTTTAGCTTCCAAGTCAGTGGTAATGACAACCAGTGTGGAGACAAATCTGTTTTGTCAAACAAGCCGCTACAGATTTCAAAGCACTTGGACATACTACTTCCCTTTCTTACCCTTGGCTCCTTACCACGGAAGGTAACAGATCTACAGGTTTAATGGGCTGGGATGCGAGCATCTCTGCGACATCGCTGTTCTACCTACCACGTTTGTGGGGAGAGAATGCGGGAGTGTGTGGAACGGATCCTGGAGGTGCTTGATCCGCAACAGTGAACTATCCGAACACCCTTCTGTGTAGGACTAAATTCACCGACACCACTACATCCACCAGAGACCCTGGATTCAAGACAGTCACTGAGTAGCTGGGAGGGGTTTGAAATGTGCAGCCAGCTAGTGGACTCAAACTTGGCAATGACAGGGACCTACGCTGAGTGAAGCTGGGCTCCCTGGTATCCCTTGACAGAATTCAGAGGAAGGAATCTAAAGTTTAAGAAGCTGAGAATTTTCAGACAGATACACCCCGGGTGACTGGCTCAGAAAACCCCTCCTCCCAAACCTGCCTCTCGCCCCCCGCATTCTAGAGGACATCTCTCCTATCACAGTGTTGGAAAGCACACAGGTGAGGGGAACATCTTTGAGCACAAGAGTGACCATCCACAGTCGCCTGGGGGTGAACGCAGTCGATGGTACCATTGAAACGGATCAACCAAAGTCCGTAAAGAGATGGGATCCCAGGGCTCCAAGATGAAGAAACAGACAAATTCACAATCACAGCTTGAAACCGTATAAGCCTTTCCCAATAACTGATATTATAAGCTGATAAAATCAGCAGATAGGAGGAAAATTTGAATAAAAGACGAACAAGCCTGACCTAACTGACAAACGGACCGTGCAATAAGCGACACAGAAAGCACATTCTTTTCAGGTCTCCACGGAACATTTACTCATGTACCTGTTGGGCTATAAAGCAAATTTCAATGAAGTTCGAAGGACACAATTCAGAGCATGTCCTCTGACCACTGTGAAACTGAACTAGGAATCAATAACAAATGATAAACAGACAAATCCCCCAAGAATCTGGAATTTCAACAATGTATTTTCCAATAACCCACTGGTCAAATAAGAAATAATAAAAATTAGAAAATATTTTGAACTGATCAGTAAAATGTGACATACCAAAACTGAGAGCTGCAGCTAGAACTGGGCTTTGAGGGAAAGGAACAGCCTTAAATACACGTATAAGGGCTGAAAATGGATGATATACGTACCAATCTTAAGAGGCAACGAAATAACAACAAAAAGCAAATTTAAACTAAAAGCATATAGAAGGAAATAATGAAGACCCTGCAGACATTAAAACGATAAAAAGATGTTATGAACAACTTCAAGCCTAGAAATTTTGAAGCTTTAGATGTCACAGAAATACTGACACAAGATGAAATAAAAGTGTAAACAGTCATATATCTAGTAACAGCATAAAACACATAATCAAAAACTTTCCCATAAAGAAAACTCTAAGCCCAGTTAGCTTTATCAATGAATGTTTCCAAATATTTAAGAAAGAAATAACTGTTATAAAATAAACTGTTTTTTTAAGAAGATTTTATCTGTTTGAGAGAGAAAGAGAGACAGACAAGCAGGGGGAGTGGAAGAGCCCAACGCAGGGCTCCATCCCAGGACCCTGGGATCATGACCTGAGCAGAAGGCAGATGCTTAACAACTAAGCCACTCAGGTGCCCCTAATAAACTCTTCCAAAAAACATAAAAAGAGAGAATACTCTCCAACTCATCATTGGCAAGCATGATACCAAAACCTGAGGAAGACATATCAAGAAATGAAAATGGTAGGCCCATCTTTCTTTTTGAACATAGACTCAAAAATCCTAAACAGAGTATTAACAAACTGAATATCCAATGAGTTATAAAAGCAATAATATAAAAACTGAGTTTATTCCAGGAATGAAAGACTGGTTTAGCATCAAAAAACTAGTTGATATAATTCAACCACATTAACCGAATAGAGGAGAAAAAAATTTCTGATCTTTTCAATAGCTTTGGAAAAAGCATTTAGTAAAATTCAACTTCTGTTAGGAATAAAAAACTTTAAAAATACTAGAAATAATGGGAAATGTTCTTCATCTGGTAACAGAGGACATACAAAAAAACCCTCTCCCCTATTGAATTAGAATAGAAAAATTTGAAGAAAGCTGCCTCTAGTCAAGATTTTACTAGAAATTATAGCCAGTATGCTAAGGCACAGAAAAAAAGTGTAGGAAAGAAAACTGACATCATTTACCAATGACACAAATAAGTGTAGAAAGAAAATCTTAAAGCATCTACAGAGTAACCATGAGCATTAATAGGTGATTAGCAAGATAGATACACAGAGATACAGAGTTACAGATAGCGATATGACATACTTTTTCTCATAGCCAGACATGTACATAGGTCCTGGACTAAATGCAGGGGCCACACTATTATTATTCCAGAAGACCTGTTTGAAACGTATTTGGTTCTTATTTCTGTGATTTGTTTATTTGGAGGCATTGGCACATGGGGAAAAATGCTTAGGTCAAGAAACACAGCAATGGTGCTAATGAATGGGAAACTGATGGCTACTACCTGGCCATTCTGGGTTCCTTATGCCACAGGCCAACATGCAAAAAAGGGAATTCCATGATGGCAGGAATCAATGATCTTTTTTATCAAGGAAACTAGAGTTACTGTTTCAGAGTCCAGAGAAGGAGAATGACTGGAACCCAGGAGATCCTTTAAAGGGCCTCCTGGTCAACACCACACTCAGTAAAAAAAGTTAAGGGAAGTCTAAAACCACATACTGAGTATTGAGATCTGTCTGAAACCAAGGCTGGGTCACTCTGCCACATAAAGAACTCTGGTGGACGGAGGACCGTGGACAGGGAACCAGAAGCAGATGGTTCATTGCAATATACTCACTCCTGGCATTCAAATCCACTGGTCACAACAGAACTGCTTGCTTTGTACCTCGGGCAATCCCAGGACATGGGGTCACACACGTACCTATTGAGCTCCCGGATGGCCCGGAGTCTGCGGATGTAGCGACGGCAGCTTGGCAGAATGGAGAGGTGGTGGGCGTGCAGGGTAAGAAAAAAGCATTCTGTAGGGAATTTCGGCTCAGAAAATGGAGGCTGATCTCCATCTAGGAAAAATAACATGATTCCCTAAATAAAGGCTTTACCAAGACTAAATCAGGGGAAAAGCACAATTAAGACAGAATTACACTTGAATTTTCAAGAAGCTTAAGGATGCTTTTTAAAAAATATAGACTAAGTTATAAGCAGCACGAGCTCCATTGAATGATTAGGTATTCTGCCCCATCTGATTAAATGTTTGCATAGACGTACATCAACAACCTGTCGTTACGAGTCTTCCTGATGTATTTTATATAACCATTCCCATAATTCAACACAGGCCATGAAACATCACCTTGAATCTCAAAATACCGGTAGACTGTTAATCTACAGATTCCAAAGCCGTTTCCATACCGTGGGCATGTCTGCCACTTCTAATTCTTCTCTATTATAAATAGTGTTTGGAAGATCTGTATGAAAAATCACTCCTTCACCCCACTCCCAGAATTGGCAGTATATTCTAAAATGTAAAATTATTGAGAATGACAGTATTATAATTTTTGGTATAAATTAGAATTCATTAAATAAATTGATTAAATTCCATCTATTTCTTCACAAACTTATATTCTATCTTATCACTTTGTTTTTGGATTATCTATCTATTTATTTTTAAAGACTTTATTTTTAAGTAATCTCTACACCAAACAATGTAGGGGCTCAAACTCACAACCCTGAGATCAAGAGCCCCAAGCTTCACCGACTGAACCAGCCAGACGCCCCTGTTTTGGATAATTTACAGATACACAACAATAACCTGAATTTCTTTCAATTTGTATCTAATTCCTATTAGTATGTGTATTTTTTCCAGCAAGTATCTTTTATTTTCTATGATATATACTGCTTACATTTTTGTCCCCCAAAAGAAAACTGTCTCTTGGTAGAATTCAGTTTGGGCCTTATACATTTATAACAGGTTTACATTGTAAAAGACATGATTCTATCAAACATAAGATATACTTTGCTTCTTTCTTTAATTTTGCATACTCATTTCATTTCACTCTACAAAAAGCATATTTATCTAAGATACTGTATATATGTATCATCTTTGATGAGATGCTTCATTTATTAAATCATTATAAATTTCTGTTTCCTTCATGGCTGGGTCAAATCCTCTGTTCAGTTTTTTCATGTTTTCTTTATTTTTATATTATATGTATAAAATATAAAAATACATATAAAATAAAGGATATATATGAAGAATATATATACTATATATATATTTTTTAAATGTTTAACCCTTTGATTCTTCTGGAATTTACTAGTCCATGATATGATTCCAAGACAATACTAGTTACTACTTATTCAAGTGGTACTAATCAAACACTAACTTTATTGCTCATCAGAGATTTAGTTCTTATCATAGTTTACATGTTTCTCTAGAATGTGTGCACCCATCTGATCACGATGCTGCCAGGCAGGCATGGAACCCCCATCCTACTGAACGATTTTATAATATTTAAAAAATAAATGCCATAGGGTTCTGATATCCATCAGTAATATGTCTTATCACATAGAAAGGAAAAAGATCAACAACTTAACACTTTAAAATATTCATATTTTAATACCAATGATGCATCAAGATCTATGAAATATTTCAGGAGAACTTTAATTGGTATATATAAAATCTATATTATAATTAAGTCTCTGCTACCATTTTTATTATATGAGTATTTTTAAAGATTTTATTTATTTATTTGACAGAGAGAGAGAGAGAGAGCACAAGCAGGGAAGTGGCAGGCAGAGGGAGAAGAAGAAGCAGGGTCTCCACTGAGCAAGGAGCCCAATGTAGGACTCGATCCCAGGACCCTGGGATCATGACCTGAGCCGAAGGCAGCTGCTTAACCAATTGAGCCACCCAGGCATCCCTATTACATTTCTTTTTCTTTTCTTCTTCTTTTTTTTTTTTTTGATTTTAGTCTGAATAGTGTATTTCCTTCCACTTGTTCTATATATCTATTTGACTTTGGCTAAGCCAAGTAAGAAGTTTTTTTTGGTTTTTTTTTTTAAAGATTTTATTTATTTATTTGACAGCGAGAAAGAGAGCACAAGTAGGCAGAGAGGCAGGCAGAGGCGGAGGGGGGAAGCAGGCCCCCATTGAGCAGAGAGCCCGATGAGGGGCTCAGTTCCAGGACCCCAAGATCATGACCTGAGCTGAAGGCAGAGGCTCAACCCACTGAGCCACCAGGCGGCCAAATAAGAAGTTTTCAATGCGTTACTTTTTATTGTGTATCTCTGGCTCTTAAATTAATTTTCTGGAGAGAAAACAACAATTTGTGAGCAACCACTAGCATCCAAATAAAATAAATCTACGAGACGTGTTTAAATAAAAGGGCAGCGTTTTAATGATCTCACAATGAGCAACGTCACTCACACAGCTCCGCCAGCCAGTCGTTCACGTCCTCCATTGTCGCGTTCACTCTCGTCTCATCATTAGGGAGAGCGATCCGGCACCTTGGGTGGAGCACATACGCGGGGTCCACCGTCTCTAACTTGATCTTTGTACTTAGCTGCTGCAGCACCCAAAGGAAATTCAGCATGAATCCGTCCGTAGATACCAATCTATCATCTGTCTGTGGAGTACGGAAAAAATGAATTTAAAATAATGACTTAAAAAGAAATTTTGGCACAAGTATGTAAGAAAGGCAACCAGACATTCACCCCAGAGTCAATGAGAGGAAATATATCATCACCATTGTCATTTTTTTTTTTTTTTTAAAGATTTTATTTATTTATTTGACAGAGAGAGATCACAAGTAGACAGAGAAGCAGGCAGAGAGAGGGGGAAGCAGGCTCCCCGCCGAGCAGAGAGCCCGATACGGGACTCGATCCCAGGACCCTGAGATCATGACCTGAGCCGAAGGCAGCGGCCCAACCCAATGAGCCACCCAGGCGCCCCCACCATTGTCATTCTATCAGAGGGGGCTCTTTACGGAGTCTTAATCCCATGTGAAGCATTTTATACATTCCCTGAATCTTCAGAAGAGCCCATGGAAGTCAGCGATACTGCTATTCGCATTTTACAAAGGGGGAAACTGAGGCTCAGAGAGCTAAACGACTTGCTTAAGATCCTCAAAATGAATTAAGTAGAAACACAATTAATGTTGCTTCCTTTCCTCTTCTTTATTTCCCCTCAAGAGCATCAAACCCTAGTTTCACTCAGCACTGATGGACTAACAGCCGTTTTTTTTTTTTAAGATTTTATTTATTTATTTGTCAGAGAGAGAACGAGAGTGAGAGAGTGAGCGAGCACAAGCAGGGGGAGCGGCAGGCAGAGGGAGAAGCAGGCTCCCCGCTGAGCAGGGAGCCTGATGTGGGACTCGATCCCAGAACCCTGGATTCACGACCTGAGCCTAAGGCAGACGCTTTACCGAATGAGCCACCCAGGCGCCCCTGACTAATAGTTTTTCTGGTTGACGTCACTACAGACGTCCTGTGTTAATGACATAACAATTATAATAATGGTAGTTCCCATCAACTGTGTGTCCACGCCGCACCAGGCACTGTTCTAACAGCTTTATGGATAGTAACCCCACAGTTAGGAACTATTATTACCCCTATTTAGCACTTAGGAAACTGAGGCACAAAGAAATAAACAGCAAAGGTCCCACCGTTAGTAAATGGTGGGACCAGAGAAGGAAACCCAGGCAGTCTGATGCAGGGCCACACTTTTCTCTATACACTTTTCTTCTTCTCAATAGAAAGGTCACATCATTCATTCACTACTTATTAGTAATATAGGAAAGATGCCCTTTTAACTTCTCTTCCCTTGCAAGGTAGTCCAGGCCACCAGGCTCCCCACCAGATCTCCTCGGGTCTGCTTCTGTCGCTCCTCCCACCTTAGCCCGTTTTCCACACAGCTACATCTGGCGGCTTCCTTGCTGCAAAACCCCCAGGGGCGTCCCATTCTAGTTCTTACCACGTCAGCCGTAGCCTGATGGGAGTCCCCGACCCGCCATCCTCCTTCCTGCACACTATTTTCGAGCCACTGAACTCTGCATATGGGGCTGTTCGAAAGCTAGATCATTCCCACTTTGGGTCCTTACAAGCGTCTAGAAAACTCTTTTCCCAGCCTTGTCATGGTTGACTTTCACATCAGTCGGTCTCTGATCAAACGTCACCTCCCTAAAGGTGTCTTCCCCACCACGTGATCGAAACTCACTCCCGTACCCTCCTTCAGGTACCTCCACGGCTACTTCCAGGTTCTCTACGTGCTTTATTTGCGTCATAGCCTGTGGAACATAGCTGCACAGCGGTAGGAAGATTCTCTCCTGCTCAACACCGTGTCTCCATTTCCCAGAACAAGGCCTGGCAGATGCCGAGTGAAGACAAGCCAGATGAGTGACTTTAGCCAATCAGTGAACGCGGGCTTCTCGAACCCTACCTGCATCTGTGCTTTCTTCATGTTGGCGTTGACGACGGCTGCCATGTAACTGAGAGCAGCCTCACGGGTCTCGCCGTTTAACAGAATACTGTGCAGAATCTTGAAAAGCTCTTGCTGGAATTGATTTTAGAAAGGGAGAAGAAAAAAATTAAGACCTGACTTTAAAAATGATTCCTTTTGACTTCAAGAACAGCTGGGCTTCTTCTTCCTCTCCTCTCCTCCTTCCACTCGTTTGAAGAGCGCCCGACCACCAGAGGAACAGGGGTGTCCACATTCAACTGTGTCAAGACCATTTGCACGCAAGCAGATGGTGGGGGTGGGGGAGGCAAGCAGTTACTACAGTTTTAATAAAATAACCTTTTCTATTCCCTTTTTGGGACAGGATCAAAATTACCTTAATTATGCTACCGTTAGCCTTTAATTTTGGCTCCCGGGAAGTCTCAGGACGGAGGGCATACCAATCCACTCCGGAGAGGCACGAGAGACCAGGGATTATGTGCAAACGAACGGGGCTCGCTCACTCTCAGGTTTTAAAGGCCTACGAGTGGGCTGGAACCGTAGCTTCCAGGCCGAACCAGTTCTCAGGGAGGCCACATGCTACTGTTACGGCAGTTGTTACTCAAGACACCGGTTACTCATACCCAGCCTCTCCACTACTCATCCTCTGAACTCACTCCCTCAACACCTACCCTTCCCAGCTCCAGGTAATGCTGCAGTGACTGGCTGACCACACGAGTGTTCTCCAGGGTAATGGCGGGCCCTGAGAAATACTTTTCAACCACCTTAGCCTGGGAAGAGAAGGGGAAAATTCCATCGATATACAATGTTCATTTAAGGAAGGAAACTGAACGTCAGAGCAGCAAAGTACAAAGGGTCACTGTACTTACATCGTCTTCTGCAAAGACCGAGAAGCTGAAGAAAGCCCCCAGGTAGGACAGTCTCTGCAGCTCCCGCCCAGAGCCGGGGCTTAAGGATTTAGGCAACCACAATGGCAAAGAAGCCACCTGGGCAAGAAACGGCAGAGGCAGGTCAGGCTGCTACGCCGGCAAGGGAGGGAGAAGTGTGACGAGCAGAGTTCTGGACAGCCAACTTGTTCTCAGCGGGGTCTCAGCCCCCAGGACCGGGCAGACAGTTAACACACAAAACCCCAAAGCTCACGAACATGTTAGGACCCCTGCTGCCTTTTCCTATCTCAGATGGAGGCGGAAAACCCTCCGGACTCCTCTACGTTTTCACAGGACGGTCTTTTGATTTTTTATGTTTTGAGAAGCTCTTTGATAGCGCTCGGACCAACTATTTTTACACTATCAAAGGACTCAAGTACATTTTTCCACAGGACTTGTTTTCCTCCTTGCACAATATTTATACAAAGATCATGGAAGGACGTAAATAAGTTCATCCCAGGCAATCACTTGTAGGGTTAAGCAATTTCACTACTGAGAGTCACCCAGACGTGTTACCTGCATCTAACCTAAATGTCCTCTAGGAGATGTTTTTTTCACACAACGTTACTTAAGGGGTATCTTCGGAGTTACACATCCCTAGAACCGGTGCAAGTCCATCAGGGAGTCACTCACCAAATTGCACACAGGGTGGGTCTTCCCAAACTTGGTTTCACAAAGCTCACCTAAAGCCTAGAAATAAGATCAGAAAGTGTCATTTTAAATTTTATTTTTAAATATTTTTTATTTATTTATCTGACAGAGAGATATAAAGAGAGCACACGTAGACAGAACAACCGGCAGAGGCAGAGGGAGAAGCAGGCTCTCCGCTGAGCAGGGAGCCCATGCAGGGTTCAATCCTAGGACTCTGGGATCATGACCTGAGCTGAAGGTGGCCGCCCAATGGACTGAGCCACCCAGGCACCCCCAAAAGTGTCATTTTTAAAAAAAGATTTTATTTATTTATTTGAGACAGGGGCAGAGGGAGAGGGAGAAGCAGACCCCTTGCCGAGCAAGAAGCCTGATGCAGGGCTCGATCGCAGGACCCTGGGATCATGACATGAGCCGAAGGCAGATGCTTCACCAACTGAGCCCCCCAGGCACCCTGCAGAAAGTGGCATTTAAATGTATTCCATCTTTTTTTTTTTTTTAAGATTTTATTTATTTATTTGACAGAGAGAGATCACAAATAGGCAGAGAGGCAGGCAGAGAGAGAGGGGGAAGCAGGCTCCCTGCTGAGCAGAGAGCCAGACGCGGAGCCCGAACCCAGGACCCCGAGACCATAACCCGAGCCAAAGGCAGAGGTTTTAACCCAATGAGCCCCCAGGTGCCCCTGAAGGTATTCCATCTTGAACTGACTGCCACGTGTAATACCAAGAAGCAGCTCTGATGCTGCCGTAAGTACATGAGCATTCCTTCCAAAACACTGAGAGCCTCACTACTCTTTGGATGTACCTGCACATTGTTAAAAAACTCAGATGAAACAGAAATATAAGATGAAACTAAGAATCACTCATAAACCTCACCCGAAGAGATGACCTCTGCTGGTATTTTAGTTAACAGCTTTCCAGCCATATTTTTGTGCTGATCCACACTGAAATAAATGTGTTTAGTTTTACAAAAAGTGATTTTTTTCACTTAACATCTTTCCATGTCAAAAAAAAGATACACTTCATCAACTTGGGACAGCTCATCTTGCCAGTGCTGAAACAGGACTATTTATCATTGCAATCTAATAAGCTACCACATTCAGAACATATTTAAAAGCCTTACTTGGCTTCAAGATCTCGGATATTTCTGAGAACTCCAGGGTTTTCTCCTTTGGAGCTGTAATCATTCTCATATTAGAGAATCAAGAAAATTAGGTTTTAGGGACATAAACACAGTTTAACATAGCCGGTGTGTTCCAATCAAACACTGTTTGAACAGTGAGCTCCATTTTCTGTGATTTGAACATAGCTACCAAAGTTCCCGAGCCGGCCCTCGGAAGCTGCTTGTGAGTCATGCAGGGAGGCCCTGACAGGTCTCCGGGGTGCACCGAGAAGGAAAAGTTCTCACCGCACAGGGCAGGAGTTCCCAACCAGTGCTGCACACCAGGATCACCGGGGGAGCTGGAAAAATCCAATGCCAGGCCCCATCCTCACCATACCCGTGACCAGTGGAACCACAGTGTGTGGGAGGCAGGTACCAGGTGTTTAATTTTAAAGATCCCCAGGTGATTCGAAGGTATGGCAATGTGGGGAGGCACTGGGCCAGAGAACAATCACAATTGTTTCTGGTTCCAGCTCCGGTGGTCTTCCTCCTCCTGCTCCCATTATCTCTCCTCGAACTGCACTCTCCCCGCTGGACAAGCATCAGTGATGGTATAAAATAAAGCTATTGTCTGCCATAATGGAGGTCTTTGTCTTTTGACCGAGAAGAACATTTTGTTGCTATCTGACACTGAAAGCTCCTTCCTGAAACATCGAGCCGTTCATACCGCAACAGAAAAGCTAACAGTACCGCGAAGGAACATTTACATCATTCGTTGAGAACGAATGTGCACTCGGATATTTCATCACTGGACTCAAACAATCAGATGGTTTCACTTCCTCTTATCTGGCACAGACAGAATAATGTGCCGAAGGATTAACAGAATTTTCTCAGAAACCCGAACGGCAGGGGCAGTAGAAAGAGCCCTGACATAAACTCATTCAAAGCTGTTTTTTAAAAAGAATCCCATTTCGCTCTCTAATTTCCCAACACTATCTTCGCCTCTTAACTCCATTTTGATTGATTAAAACAGAGACAGGCCCCCTTCATGTTCACCCGTGTTAGCATTTATCACGGTGTGGTCATCCGCACTGTTGTGGACTTGAGTTCCGTAGTGGGTCAGGGGCACTTAGTGGAGAGGTGCCTTGTCTAATTGGCCAAGTACCTGGCACAGAAGAGGTCCTCAGTGAGCACTGACTTAATGTAAGACGGAATCAAGTCCGTAAAAAGATCGATTTAATCAGGGCCTCAATTGATACAAGATTGTATTCATTCACTGAGTTAGCTGATTTTGTATTTTGTTATTTTTTTCCTTCACATCCTAGACTGAAAAATATTTAGTCATATGTCCGAGTATTTTTCTCTCCAAATTTCCAAGGAGCCAATTCAGAAAGAAAAGGGCCTTTTCCTTTCTTTCTGGTTCCAGTGTGTTCACAGCAGTCAGGGCCCTCCATGAGCGTCTAGGGAAAGGTCTGTCCAATTTACGCTTGCTGTAGGTGCGTGAATGAGCCAAGCAGACTGTTTCCCACAGGAAGCCTGAAGGAAATGGGGAGGGCAGACAAGAAAACTACTCTGAGATTTTTCTAGAAAGTCACTTCATAAAGCTGGGTTACTCTTCCTAGTATAACTCTGTCCTTCTCCTTGTATTTGTAATAGTTTGGTTTTTTTTTTTAAATAACAAAACTTCATCCCGATTATGGCATGCCTGCTGCCAGGAGGAGAAGGATCCACCAAGAATCGTCTTTTTCCTAAGCTACAACGTGAGGCCAAGTGCATTCCGGCGCTTGTGTCATTGACTCCTGCCTAAGGCTCGCATGCATGGAATATGTCCCGGGCTGCTACCTCCCTGTCTTCACCGACGCATCCCTGCACACCAAACACTATGCGGCCAGCACAGTGCTTTAAGGTTTTAAGTGTGAAAACAAGGCTGATAACCTGAAAGAAAAGTCCATGTTAAAATCAGCTGGGAGAAAGCATTTACTGAACGGCCTAAAGAGAAAGAACAAAGGTTTACCATGAGGGGGTACTTGAAGTAGTCACTATCGAGGGAGCACTCTTTGGCAGCGAGGGCCAGGCCTTGTAAAATGGGGATAAAGATCTGTAAGAAAAAAAAATCAGAAATGTAAGTTTAGGGAAACGTAAGAACAGGAGGCGTGCTAAAATAAAGTGCTGAGTCTGAATGTCTAAGCATTTCCACCGTCCCCAAGGAAAAGCTGTTTTGTTTAGAAAGGAGTCTGGCATCCGGCCACGGAGTGTGGCTCTGTCCTTCCACAAGGCTAACCATAAAGAAATATATATAGCTGGATTTTCCGGAGGTAACAGGATCTGGGGAGCCCCGATTCTCTGGCAGGACTCCGAGTGACTCAACAGAAACTCACAATTTTTGAGCCCGCTATAGGAGTCCCCAAGGGTCCTCACTCTAGTCTACTGAATTCTCCACATCTCGACAATGACTATGTTTCTGATAACCAAGCACCTACAATCTATGAAGAAACTGGACTAAATGTTCCAGTATCTTCTCAACTCTATCAGTATTTAAAATACTCTCCCACTTCCTTCTGATTCTTTCCATCGTTCCCTATTTTGAAGAGAACAGGAAAAACACACCAGTAATGGATATTATCATCATTTCGTTAACTTTAATTACACAGAGCAAAGAGGTAGCTGGTAAATGCGGAGTATGCAGAAGAAAACTTGACTGGAATGACTTACCTCCGTTTGTGGTAAAATGTATGCACGGACATGACGCCAGAGCTCGAGGGCACCCGGATTTATTTTCCCAAGTTTACCATCAACACCAGGGCACGCTGTCACCATGCACAATTTGCTCAGCGTAGCTCATCTACAAATGCCACCATGCACTCACTGACCAACTCACTTAGGGAGTTGGTTGGGATTCCAGACCAGTAACATTAAGGAGAAGATGGTATAAACAACAGCTGAAAACCCAAATGTCAACAAGTTGACAAGGGAGTGCTCTATAAAGCCCCTAGGAAATCTGAAAAATTCCCTTTCCTACTAATTTCATCCCACTGTACTGTGCAGCCTGGTCATTTAAGGAGCCCAGGATTTAAAAAAAAAGTGCCCTGGATTACAAAGTGTCTGTGGAGTGTCTTGAGATAAAAAGATAGCTCTGGAAGAGATCACCCCAGTTTTTGCAACTCAAAACCATCAGGATAGAAGTAATGTGCTGTCAGAAGCTAACTAAAATGGACAGGTAAAGCTTAGGTGTGGCGATGGGGGAGTGGCAGTATTACAATCAAGAAACACAAAACTGAACTTCCCAAATCACCAAAATAAATTTCACAATTGGTCATCTAGAAAAATCTTAATACATTTTTCCAGAATGCTATGAAGAAAACATCTTAGTGTTTTCTAGAGACTTATCCTCTTTGCAGGTAGGATTTAATTTATAATAGACAAGACTAGCTATAATATTTATCAAATAGTCAAGCATTATAATATTCATGTGACTTAATTTTTTTTAAAGATTTTTGTTTATTTCTTTGAGACAGAGATGAGCAGGAGGAGGGGCAGAAGGAGAGGGAGAAGCAGACTCCCCGCTGAGCAGAGAGCCCGATGTGGGGCTTGATCTCAGGACCCCGAGATCATGATGTGAGCTGAAGTCAGATGCTTAACCACCTGAGCCACCCAGACGCCCCTGACTTATGTATTTTAAACGATTCTCTTGTTTTCAAATAAACACTTTTAATCAATGACAAAAAACACAAATGTTCATCTCCAATCCTAAATTCTAGCTACTGTTTTATTTCTATTTATCTGTGAACATCTCAAACATTAAAAGAAGACTGAAGTTTCAGTCAAAGATTTAATAGTTCAAATCTGCCCAACTCTTCAGACAAAAAGGTGAAGTGCTATTTGCCACTCATTCATCATTTCTCTCTAGGAAAAAGCACATGGTAATACGAAGACAGACAAGGAGTGTTCAGGACTGAGTGGCAGAAGAGGAATCAGAATGCCCTGATTAAAAAGAAGCAGTGGGGGGGCACCTGGGTGGCTTGGCTGGTTAAGCATCCGACTCTTCGATTTGGGCTCAGGGCATGATCTCAGGGTTGTGAGATCGAGCCCCACACCCGGCTCCACACTCCCTGTGGGGCCTGCTTAAGATTCTCTTTGCCCCACCCCCATCTGCCCCAGCCACTAGAGGAAAATAAAAACAAACAGTTGGTGCACAACACTGTGAATGCACTAAAAGCCACTGGATTGATTCGTTTTATGTTATGTGCAAAGGGGTCACTTCACAACGTTTGTGTCAGTTTCTTTATGAATAAGATAAGCATAACACAGCCCTTTCAGCTGATCACTGGGCCGATTTTATAGAGCTAAAGCTACTCTGGGTTCCTCAAATGATGTCTTGTACAACAGCGAGAGTGTTCTCATTTTTTTTTTTTTTAAGATTTTATTTATTTATTTGAAACAGAGAGAGAAAGATCACAAGTATGCAGAGAGGCAGGCATAGAGAGAGAGAGGAGAAAGCAGGCTCCCCGCTGAGCAGAGAGCCCGATGAGGGCCTCGATCCCAGGACCCTGAGATCATGACCTGAGCCAAAGGCAGAGGCTTTAACCCACTGAGCCACCCAGGCGCCCTCATTTTTTTTTAAATATTATTTTTTAAGTTATTTCTGCCCAATGTGGGGGTCGAACTCACAACCCCAAGATCAAGAGTTGTACGCCCCACTGGTGAGCCAGCCGGGGGCCGCAGAAAAGTACTCCAATTAATGCACATCGCGTACACAACAGACGGCTCCCCTTAAACCTTCCAAGATGGTTATTTATTCTGTTTTCTTTTTTTTTTCTTTTTTTTTAAGTAGGCTCCATGCCAGAGTGGAGCCCGACCTGGGGCTCGATCCCACAACTCTGAGAGCAAGACCTGAGTTGAGACTGAGTCAGACGCTTAACTGACTGAGCCACTCAGGAGCCTAATGGTTGTTTATTTTCATCAGAATTCACTTTTCTCTCTCCACATAGGAAAAGCTCACTATGCTGCCTTGAGTATTCTTTTTTTTTTTTAAAGATTTTATTTATTTATTTGACAGACAGAGATCACAAGTAGGCAGAGAGGCAGGCAGAGAGAGAGAGGAAGGGAAGCAGGCTCCCTGCTGAGCAGAGAGCCCGATGCGGGGCTCGATCCCAGGACCCTGAGATCATGACCTGAGCCGAAGGCAGAGGCTTTAACCCACTGAGCCACCCAGGCGCCCTTGCTGCCTTGAGTATTCTTGCAGTCAACAAGACCATCATCTAAGAGAAGGAGTCGATGAATTCCTAACATGGTCATGACACTTAACTAGGAGTTTTGCTTCTGGATTCTTCTTTTACTAACATTTTAGAAACTGCTAAAAACACAATTCCTGAGATTTCAAATTAATAGTTACAAATAATATTAGGTATAAAAAAATTAATCATATCACTTAGAGCTATTGCCTCTGTTCTGTGTAGAAAGAAACAATCATACGGTAAATTATAAGAAAGTGTCATAAAAATCCTTCCGTCACTGGAAACAGCTTGTGTGAGAGCTGCTGTGGCCAAGTGCTCATGTCACGACACAGGCCGGAACACAGTGACCAAGCGTGATGCCAAAGTTTCACCTCAGAAGAAACCTTTCGGACTAAATAAATAGCTTTATTCCTAAATATCCCAAATCTGCATTTTCACTTGACTTCACACAGTGAGAAATAAAAACTGCATGAATACTTAATGAAAGAAGTAATTAGCAAGATATGAGACATCATTCCCAGTTGAGTGGCGAGAAGATAAAAGATCCTGTGTGGTACGCAGACTGCACTGAGCTAATTCGGTCGCTGGTTTACTAATCTCCTTTTTGCAAACCTGGAGAACTAATTTTCGACATGACTCAACTGGCGAATGCATGTCATGTCGTGTGCCATCTCTTAGCATGCCTGTGTTGAAAGCACCTTGAAATGAGGGACAGAGCCTCAGGTGACTTCTTACCTCTCAGGGCACTCAGCACTGCTTACAACACTCGATGCCTGATGGCTTGAAATGGACAAACGATCTGAACCATGCAGCTGTCAATCTGGTTATCTCAAGAGAGAAATCTCAGGTAGATCTCTCCGAGCAAAGAAGACAAGTGTGTTCAAATTCTGAAACCGAAGTTTTCAGTAGAGGGTGTCTTGAGAAATCAGCCTTGGCACAGAAGCTCCCAAAGCCTCACCTGCTTGAACACTTCTTCATCCTGGTGAGTGGTCCGCACCAGCTCCTGCATGAAGCCATACGGGAGATTCCTGCACAGCATATACGGCACCAGGAAGGACGGCTGCTGCATGGACCTGCGAACCCACAAGAGGCAAACCGCGATGGCTCAGCTCATCAGTGTGCAACAATACGGCGCACGGCCTGTCACACCAGCAGAAGTGTCCAGTCAAACGTCAAACTTTAAATCTCTCAAATATTCTACACAACAATTTTGGCAAAAGACCAACCTTCTTAAATTGTTCATCATCGATTTTTGGTCTTTTGAATGAAGAGACTACAGAAAGTTTCAAAGAAGCCATCTTTTCCTACAGTCAAGCCCTTCAAAAATAAAGCATTACCCCAAAAATGAAGCATTATAGGTCTCTTTTACTTATTTGTTTATGGCGCAGCCAACTGAAAAGAAAAAGATCAGCGATGGGTGAGGACTTTTAAATAAAACTCTTGTTAATTTTAACCACAGAATATTTCTTGAGGTTTTGATCCATGTTTATCCTTTCTTTCTTCTTCTTCTTCTTTTTTTTTCCTTTTTAAGGTTCATTTATTTATGTAATCTCTATACCCAATGTGGGACTCGAACTCTAACTTGGCAGATCAAGAGTCCCCCGCTCCCCTGACTGAGGCAGCCAGGTGCCCCCACCTTTTCCTTCTTTTTGACAAGTTTCACACACAGATGGTTCTGGAACAGAGAGTAATATAAGAGCACCAGAACAAATAAATGTTGTGACTTTGCCATTTCTTCCTTAGGTGTTTTCGCATCACTTTTCCTTCAGATATTTAAGTAAAAGAAATGAAATACATAAATACTCTTTCATTGAACTCAAAACCTTGATGGGACCCTCCGAAACAATCAATAATGTAGTCTGTACTTTGGGGGATTCCCGAACGAACTGCTCTCCCACTATTATTTATCACCGAGTAACAGAAACTGACTGTAGGAAAGTGAGAACCTGCACATTCTTTTCAAAGCTCTCCCCTGACTTCAAGGAGCCTTGATGCTGACCTACGTCAACAGTGGTCTAGAGGTAAAGCAGACAGAGAGTGTTTCATTTTCCTAGTGTTACAGAGAAGGAACGGGACCTCCTGGGTCATCCAGTCAGCCCCTTTCATCTTGCAGGTGAGAAAGTGCGTTATCCAAGGTGAGGCAAGTCGGCTGGACAGCACGACGTCTGCTGACAGACAGAGTCCTCTCCCTGCTACCCTGGGCGCACCCGGTTCCTCCTACCTTGGTTGCGTGAGGGAACCTTGCAGGACTAGCGCAGTATGGGATATGCACTGCGAGCGGATGTTGCTCAGAAGCTGGCTGACTGCCGGCTGGCTGCACGTCTGAAAGAGAAGGCCAAGGTCAGGACCGCATAAACCAAGAGAATAAGCTTGCACTGTTGAAAACGGACAAGAATCAGGAGACGTCCATCTCCAGGACGCGGCACGCTTTTCTCTTGCTTGACTCGTGACAAACAAACTAGAGTAACTACATCGTCCACGTGTGCTGCCTCCGCCCAACTCCACAGTCAGAGCAGAGAGAGCGGGAGAGGGAGGCGCCCATGTTCCGCTTCCGCTAAGGTTCAGTGCGACAAACCCTGGAGAGGCCCGTCACAAATACGTGACTAACAGGGGGACAAGTGGGCTAGGCTGGGAAACTAGAAGTGGACAACGAACAGGGAATGAAATAATAATAAAGTCAGCATGAAACAGAGAAGAAAAAGCATAGCTTCGGGAGTTTAAATCCCGATTTTGTGACTTTCATGTGACTGCAGACAATCACTCAGTGTCTCCGAGATGCATTTGCTCCTTCGTACAACAAAAACAATTCCTGCCTACACTAGGTGAACCGAACAACCGTGAGATCTGAGCTCACGGAGCCCAGGGTCGGCGGTCCCTCCGTGAGCGGTTATTACCACACTAGTCACAGTCTACCGGAAACTGTGAGGGCCATGTAAGACCCTGGTGGCAACGGCACTTGCCCCCATCACTTCTTCCTGCCACGAGGACGTGAGTTCTATGAGCTCTTTGTGTGTTTTGTTCACTGCTAATGCCCTGAGCTCCCAGCATGGCGCCTGGCACATAACACATGCTGGAGAACCACTTTCCTCACTGAATAAGGGAAGAAATGTTGCCAAAGGGGGCAAATGATCATTTATCAAAAAATAACCAGGTTCTGATGGGTTTTTTAACTGGATCTGTTTCGTATTACCTTTGGTGCTTTTTTTTCCTCTATTCCAACTCGGTCAAAACACTCGATGAGGTAGTTCAGCATGTCTGTCTCCTTGCAGGTCTCAATGGTGAAATGGTCACTGTAGGAATCCCAGGTACTTGCCCCACCAGAGGCTCCCAAACTTCGGAGAAGAGAAAAGAAAATTGGTGATTCTTACCTCTTCTCAATGAATCATTTTGACAGAGTTTGCATTTCTGCAGCAGAAAGCCCGTTAGGATCCCTGCACCCACGACAATGCACAGACACCCATGCAGCCGAGGCCGGAGCGGACTGCTCACCTTCTAAACACCGTACTGACCTAAGAAGAGAGTTGGATCAGAGACCCAACACCTTATCTTACTGGGAATGGCCACTGACAAAGCCAGGAGGACTAGGAACTGTTACTGGGCTTGGCATTAGAAGGGCTAGCACATGGATTTAAATCAAACCGACCAGCTTCACTCAAGCTGACTCGGAGGTGGAGACAGACGATGCTACTGCTGTCAGTGAACTCAGGAGGAGTAAAGTAATGAAGGCGAACAAGAAGACCCCTTCTCACGACTTCTGGCATAACCTCAAAAGCCTTCAGCCAGCCTTTGGCAATAGGACCAGAGGAGGAGAACCGTCCAGTTATAAGAAAGAAACATAAACCTACTTGTATTAATGTAAAAATTTCCAAAACTCTCCATGAGAAAGGCAAAGTTGTACAGTAAACACAAACAAAACAAAAATCCTGTGTAGGGTTATCCCAACTCGGGTTCTATTCCGGCTGTGCTGCTTGCCTGTCACCTGACCCTAGAACCTTCTCTTCTCCTCTGCAGGGAGGCTTAAAAGAAACCTAACCGAAGTGCTTTGTAAAACAGAAGCAGGACACTGCACGAAGCACTGTTATGATTAGCAATTAACTATTCACCGAGACCAAAGCCAAACGTTCTCTCAAGGGCTAGGTGTGAGGAAATTAAAGTGGAGATCAGCCATCAAGAAGTCACATACCAAATCTGATGTTTAGCTCACAAATTTATTTGATACACACGAAAGATACGAAGAGAGTAATCATGGCACCAGAGAGGCTAGGAATTTTGAAATGAAAAGGAAATGAGAAAGCATAAACTTAGCAAAAAAAATTACCTATGAAAGATGACAAAGGATGGGAATAACAGCATGACCTTGAAAAACCCACCCATGCCTACTTCGACTGGGGCAGACAATTAAAGGCTAGAAACCAACAGGACTAATAGGGATTGAGGTATTAACAACACGTTATGCAGGTAGATGCATAGATATACATGACTAATTCTGGAATATATGCATAACTGACCTCAGAATTTTAGAAAAATACAGCTGACCCTTGAACAACACAGGGTTTAGAAGTGCCAACTCCATGCAACTGAAAATTGCATTTAACTTCTGATTCCCCAAAAACTTAATGACTAACAGCCTACTTTGCCTTACTAATAACATTAACAGTCGATTACCATGTATTTTGTATGTGTATTATATACTATATTCTTACAGTATATTCTTAAATATTATTCTTAAGCTAAAAATACCAAAATACTGTTAAGAAAACCAGGGGCACCTGGGTGGCTCAGTGGTTTAAGCCTCTGCCTTCGGCTCAGGTCATGATCTCAGGATCCTGGGATCGCTCGAGCCCCACATCTGTTCAGTGGGGAGCCTGCTTCCCCACTCTCTCTGCCTGCCTCTCTGCCTACTTGTAATCTCTGTCTGTCAAATAAATAAATAAAATCTTTAAAAAAAAAAAAAAAAGAAAGAAAGAAAAGAAAAGAAAACCATAAAGGAGGGGCGCCTGGGTGGCTCAGTGGGTTAAAGCCTCTGCCTTCGGCTTGGGTCATGATCCTGGGGTCCTGGGAACGAGCCCTGCGTTGGGTTCTCTGCTTCATGGGGAGCCTGCTTCCTCCTCTCTCTCTGCCTGCCTCTCTGCCTACTTGTGATCTCTGTCAAATAAATAAAATAAAAAATTTAAAAAAAAAATAACCCATAAAGGAGAGAAAATACATTTACAGTACTGCACCGTATTTATTGAAAAAAATCCACATATATGTGGATCTGTGCAGCTCAAACCCCTGGTGCTCAGAGGTTTGACCTTGGATGAAAGTATGGTATTAAAATTACAAAGATGAAAACAATGCCAGTTTTAAATCCAAGGCTTTCAGGCCAGAGTCCAGTAAATCTGAATTCCTACAATCTGCTCTACAGGTCTGATAGAACGGAAGAGAGAAGAAAGCATTGTTGGGGGGGGGGGAGTGGGACAAAAAGCAACCATCAGAAAGAAACAGCAAAACTCACCCACAAATATGAGAAGTGTGGTAAATCCCCAAAAGTAGAAAGGGGAAAGGGAGATATTTTCTTACTGTACCATCTCAGTTTCAAGCTCTCTGTGATTCTTTCCTCTTCTGTCTGATGTCAGCCCATTATTCACTGCACTTCCAAAGATGAACTTGACCAACACAGGCTTTCCCCAGACCCAACTAAGGTTAATTTTCTTTTGAGTGCCTCTCGCAGTAAACAATGAAAACTGATCTGCCTCATGTTTAAAATGAAAATTTCAACTATACATTTCCTTGATAATAAGACCCAAAGTTTTCACATTTTTACACTTCTGATGAAAAGCGTCTTACATTTGATGCCGGTAAGTCCTTGCCAGCTGGGTCAGTACCCACAGCCAGCACGCAAACACCTGCATGAAGTCAGTGGGCTTATGCAGTGGCCACCAAAACTAGGGTCCATCCTCAGCTGACACATTCCACTGAATTTTAACTTAAAACACCTCAAAGCCAACTGAGGTATCTTCACAGCTGTTTCACTGAAATATGAAAAGTGACAATGTATGCAGAAGATTGTCTCATGCCAGGCAATGCAATGAAAGGCACCCAGAATATATTAGAGAATTTTCATAGCTAAAAGAAGTTGGTATATTTTGGGGATCATCTGTCAGACACCAAAAAACACTTCGGCTAACTCTCAAGAACTGAAGACAACCAAAAAAATGAAATAAAATTTAACCAAATAGGAAATGCAGAATAAACTCCAGCATTTGTCCATAGATTACCGATTTTAAGATTGGCCCTAAAGGTGGGGAAGTAAACCACAATCCCCTGGCACGAACAGTGGCCGGTTTCAACAACGCTTCACACAGGTCTCAACGATCAAAACACACAACGATCTTCAGGTTGAAGGTGAAAGCACCGGACTCCAATTTTGAATGCCACGCTGAAGGAGGCAGTGGTGTAGTGTTTGTGTGCATGTGTTCATGCTAGCAATAAACATCCTTAAAATTTTAAAATAACATTTCATTTTTCCCTAAACAAGTTATTCTGAAAGTCATGATGCTTTTAACAACTGTGACACATGGAATACCACATTGGAAATATGTCACATTCTAGTCCTGTGAGTATCTACAAACTTACACCTCCTTCTGGGACAATGTGTGAGCCGTTTTCTGGTAACTACATCGACAGTCCAATTTAACAAAGTGGTTACTTCCCATAATAGAAATATACCTGGATCCTTTTGGAAACACAATGTAAATCCTTCTGGGGAGCCAACGTGCATGAGATCTGTGCAAGCCGAATCCCATTTGAAATGCACCGAGAAAACATGTTCCTTGGTAATTTCTTCTATAATAGCATGAATAATCTCTCTCCTACGTAACCCACTTTTTTGAATGCAGACTTGAAAGTGTTTTCTCAGTGCAAGGCAAAGTCAGAGCAGTGGGGTTCGAGCAGTGTGAATTCACTGAACAAAGGTTCACGGCGTGCCGTGTATTCCAGGCACTGTTGTAGGCTCTGGGGGCAGCACACGGAATGGAACAGAGCCTGCTGGTACGGCGATTACACTCTAGAGTGGGGGACAGTCTGAAACAATACAGGAATGCTACGAAAACAACGAAAGCGGAGCATGGTGACAGAGATGGGCGGTAAGTGTGCGTGTGTGCTTTATATAACGTGTAATATGACCCTCTGGGAGGATGGTCTGTAGACGGGGACCTGAGGGCATCAGGGGCACAAGCCATGCAGCCATCTTGGGGACAGCTGTCCAAAGAGAGGAAGTAAGCGCGAAGGCCTAAGCATCAGGGACGATGCCAAGTGACGTCAAGAACAGGGTGGCAAGGGGCACCTGGGTTGCTCAGTTGGTTGGGCAACTGCCTTCGGCTCAGGTCATTATCCCAGAATCCCAGGACGGAGTCCGGCATTGGGCTCCCAGCTCCGTGGGAAGTCTGCTTCTCCTTCTGACCTTCTCCCATCTCATGCTCTCTCTCTCACTCACTCTCTCTAATAAATAAATAAAAATCTTAAAAAAAAAAAGAACAGGGTGGCGAGCAGCAGAAGGTGTAGGCGAGGGGAGGTACGTGAGGTCGGAAAGGAGGAATGCACGCACGTGTGGCGTGTGCACGTGTGTGTACGTGAGACCAAGGGTCTCGTGGGTCAGGGCAAGGCTCTGCGTTTTATTCTGTGTGAGCAGGGACGTCACTGGAGGGTTTGGAGACACACAGGGTGGGAGTGTGTCCATGTTTCATCTCCAAGCAGTGACGGGCAGCAGAAACGAGAGGGTAAATATGACCATCTTTTACCATTTGCTAATTGTCCCTTGCTCTATTCACACGGGTTCCCGACCCTCCTTCGCTGAAATATCTGAGCAATTACAAATAGATTTCTTTCCCAGCAAACACCTGGAAAAACTTTCCTCGGAGCAAATGCTACGTTATCTTCATTACAAGACGATTCTCTCACTCTACTCATTCCACTCCGGCATCAGGTCGATCCTCAGAACTCAAAAAGCTCCTCTCACAGAGGGCTACAGGACGTCACAGGAGCCATGTTGTGCCTTTCTTAAGTTAATCCTCCTGGGCCCCACCACAGATAATTAACATATGAACGTGTGTCCCAACTACTTCCAAAAACATCTGTAACCTGTCAAGGTCACCAGGCGAGCAGGATGGGGGGCCGGAGGGGGACAGACGCGGCCCCTGTTGCTCCTTCTACAACACTCATCTCACCGGGTAAGGCGCAGGCGCAGAAACTGCTCACCTGAATGTAAATGAAATTCTGGGAAGATCGATTGGCAAGAAAATACCTGGTTCTTCCTGATCACTCAAATTAACAAGTTTTTTTGTGACCTCCTCTTGGTTTTGGCCCTACGTGCACTCTTGAGTGCCTATTTGCTTAATCAGTTATGTATTTTTCTACATCCTCTCACATTCTGCTTGAAAGCGATTCAGAAAGTTATGAAGTTGCCAAAATCTGGAGAGATCAGATTCCATTTTAACAGCCAGCAAAGGACCTGCCAACTGAATGGAATTTTGTAATTACCGAGTAAAAGGCTGGCACTTCCTTGCCAAGAACAGAGTAAAAGCATAAACACTCAGGAGTGAGGTAGCCAGTGAGGGACGAGAACAGCACTAGCGCTACCGCGAGCACAGCGTGGTGGTGCGGTGAGTTCTGGACTCCGGCCTTGCCACCTACTTAGTTACGCGACTGACTTCCCTGTCCCCGGGGTTCCTTATGGTAGCTGGGAGGGCCGCTGTGAGGACAGAGGGATAATGTGTGCAGGGTGCTGGCACGGGGTCTGGCCCGCGATGCTCAGTATTTAGAGCTATCATTACACAGTTATCTCTCCTTGTAACTGCAGAATCTAGATCAGAGACGAGGCCGGGATGCTAGGAGCCTAGTGCTAGTAAAAGCAGCACACAATCTGGTATCTTCGTGAGCGCAAGCTGGAGATAGGGAGAGAGGGAGAGAGAGCATTTCTTTCACCATTTACAGTAAAACCGATTAACAAAGCACTTCCATCATGTACGGAAACGGATTCCTAAAAAGGATGCCATCTGCATTACCGTAATCATGCAGTAGGATTTTATCCACGTGAAAAAGACACTTCCACCTTCGGGAAATTTACTTGAGAAACAGTAACACAACGTTCAACCCAATACAAATATCAACCTTCCTGAATCGATATCCAACCTTGCACCAACATTCCTTTCTCTCTTTATGTACTCTCTCTAATGATTCTTCTGAACGCTATCAAATTTAATGAAGTATACCTAAGGCCTAGTGCCGGCTCTATTTATAACCTGGAGTTATTTTTGAACAGTGCTGAGCACAACTACCAAATCAGTCCAGTGGAAACTTCAATTTAAGAGCAAAATCGTAAGACAATGAGTCAGAGGTTCAGAAAGAAGGTGCTATTATATCTTCTTGCCCAAAGTCACCTAGAGAACCCAAGCAGTCTTTTTTCACACACCTTCTGGGGGTGGGGGGGAACATTCAGCAGCATCACGAACTAAGTGTCAGCCTTGACTGTCATTCCAGAGGCTGTCTAAACAAGGGTCTAGCTTCACTGCGGTCAAGGAGGTGATCAGTGAAATTTAAGGTTAGAAGTGAAAGCAGAATCAGTTATACCAGACGGGATGGCCCCACACACTCTTAAACAGATTGTCACACCGGGCTGGGGCAGGAGAGGGGGAAAAACACACACACACACCGTTGCCATTCCTAAGTAGCAGCAGTCCATGCAACCGCATGTAAGGAAACATGCCCCCGCTGTGTACGGTTTGCTCACATCTGGCAGCCCAAAAGAAAACCCTCCATAGATGAACGAAGGGTCCCTCATTTCAGACCTTAGGCTTGATGACTCATCTTTAATCTGCTGTTTGTGTCTCTGACAAATGATTACACATAAGTGTTCCTCCAAACTTACCAGGCAACAACGAGGAAGACTTCCCTAGGTGCCACTTCACCCCGGGATAAGGTCCTAACGACTCACTCCATGCAAGCTCCCCACATCCTGCCTCTCCAGGCCGTCTCATTTCACCTGCCCTGTTTAGATTCGAAGCACGCCCCTAGTGAGGGCTTATAAAAGTTAGTTCCTAAGCACCTATGCACATGCAGGGGTGAGACTCCATTCCTCCGATACCTGGACCCAAACTGGACACAAGAAAACTCATCACCACCACCACCACCTTCATCATCACCATCACCATCTTCTTCTTCATCTTCATCACTACTGTCGCCAGAAAGCGCGAGGAAGAAGAAGGAGAAAGGACTGTCGTACATACTACCACAACAGAAGCAAAAAAGGTCATCAGGGAACAAAGGAAAAAACAAGAAGTGGAAATCTTTTGTAACTGCTATCGCTTTTTAATTAAATGTTATGCTAAAAGTTCTGGTTACAGACATGCAGTAAAACAATTCACCTCAATGACAGAAGCACGCAGGTACATGGCGGGGGGCTGGGCACATTGGATTAGTGGCATTCTGTTAGGGCTCCTTTCCAACAGGCTCAAATCAGAGGGTGAAGGTACAAGCACGGGCCCAGACCAGTGGTCAGAGATAATGGGCACAGGCCCAGACTTGCTCCCACCACCCCCGGGGCTAACTGTATTCCAACTATGATCGACCACAGTACGGAGGGCTAAAAAGTGCTCTGTGAGCCCCAACTCTCAAGTCGAACTGCCCACAACCTCTGCGCTTCATCTGTAATGAGCAATGACACACGAACTAGATAGATTTCAAAAAACGGAAAGTGACTCCTTTTTTTTTTTGGACAGGAAGGAGGAAGAGTGAGGGGTAAGAACAGACTAAGGGATGCACAACGGACACCCACAACTTCTAGGGTTATCGAAGCCTGGCAGAAGCACGGACTCGGGCGCGAGCCTACCAGACTGGTTACACACACAGGTTAATAACCCCAAACAGGGAAACACACGTAACTGAGGTCAGCGTCACACACCAGTCCTTCCAAAGTGAGTTAATCGCCTCTCCCTGCACTGCAAACACGCACCCAGCTCTCCTGCTGAATAAATACCTAGGAGAGATCCTTAGGGCTGAGGGACGTCTGCTTGCGGCACTGGGCGACGCGGCCAGGGAAGGTGGCCCTAGGCTGCTGGGTCTCTGTCTGGGAGAGCTGGCGGGCACCGCTTGAAGGCTACTAGCGAGGGCGGGGAGGCTGGGCGAGCTGGACAGAATGGAGATGCCGGGGGACCGCGGGATAGGAGAAGTTGAAGACCCCCACGGGTGGGTGACGGTGTAGGGGCGATACCGTGGAGATGAGGGCTGGCTTCCTGTGGCAGACCCAGGAGCCGCGGCATGGGGGCTGAGGGAAGTGGCAGGCCCAGCCATCAGGCCGGCTGCACGGGCAGGGGAGGAGGCAAAGGACGGACTCATCACTGGCGCCGCGCTCCAGAAACTTGAACTGGGAGCTGGGCTAGTTTCATAGAGGCTGAATCAGTTGAGAAAGAGAGGAAAGAAGAGAAAATTGAAGACACACTTGAGGTAAATCACTAAAATGGAAACCACTCACGCTTTTCAAGAACAGTATGATGACACTTCGTATCTCTAAGCATTCAGGTGTACGACTCTCTCAGATACTCATCTAAATGGTTATAACCCGACTACCGTGCCCATCTTGAGGCTACATTTACAGTACACTAAAGCCTTCTCTCCAAAGAATAATGTGCTATATCCAGCCACTTGCCTAACCACGGGAAGCCAGACAACCCCACCTGGAAAAGGCAAGCCCTCCAGCCACGACGGAGTGCCCCCGCCGAATACAACACATGCCGCCATCTGACTGAAAGGCCCGCAGGGAGCGGTCCCTGCCCTCACACGCTGCCTGGCTGTTCTACTACTGAGCTCTGCTCTGCACAAGGAAGCGCACTGACCTTGAGAAAGAGCTGGCGCCGAAGGAACCCGCGCCGCAGAACATGGGGCTAGTTCCTGGGTTGGAGCCGGTAGCGAGCATGAGATTTCTGTCTGGTGACCGAGCTGCCGCTGCAATTGGCTGAGACGTGGCCGTCAGACTGGCAAAGGGATTTTCATCTCTGGTCTGAGCAGACATCATTAGCACTTCCATTAAAATCTGGCCAATCAAGTCCTTAAAATCAGAGAACACTGTTGGAAAGGCAGAATAAAGAAGAGGTTACAATGCTTCCTCATACACACAGTCCTTGAACCAGCCAAATGGAACCAGAGGGTCAGTGTGGCATCCGGATTGGATTCTGGAACAGTAAGAGGACACTGCAGGAAAACCGGTGAAATCCAAATGAAGCCCGAGTTCAGATAATAGTAATATCTTAGTTCTGACAACTAGACTATGGTTACATAAGATGGAAACATTAGGGAAACTGGGTGAAGGGTGTATGGGAATTCCTGCCAACGATCTCCAAAACTCTTCTGTAAATCTAAAATCATGCCGAAATACAAAACATATTTAAAAAAAGAAAAGAAAATTGGAGCGCACCCAATGAGAATCACTGCTCATATATATTAACTGTGTAACTACAAAGATTTGTTTATCGTACTAGAAACAAAGCTGGGTTCACGTTTCTTCATCTACCTATGTATTACACACAGTAAGACTACTAAATGCCAGGTTCAAAATCTTTTATGAAGGTTCTAATATTTAGTCACCATCTGGCCTTCTGGAACAAATTCTATTTTCTAACTCCTTCCTTATTCTTCGAAGCTCCCAAATGCTTTACGGCAGGTCTTCAGATACATTTTAAATATCACTAAATACATGAGAGCTGTAACACTGTGAACCTTATCTGATCTGGCTATTAAAAATAGTCACTTATATATGTACAAGACAGATTTAAGAATCTTAAGGTTTACAATAAGAAAAATAACAAGGTGGGGCGCCTGGGTGGCTCAGTGGGTTAAAGCCTCTGCCTTCGGCTCAGGTCATGATCTCAGGGTCCTGGGATCGAGTCCCACATCGGGCTCTCTGCTCAGCAGGGAGCCCACTTCCCTTCCTCTCTCTCTGCCTACCTCTCTGCCTACTTGTGATCTCTCTCTGTCAAATAAATAAATAAAATCTTTAAAAAAAAAAAAAGAAAGAAAGAAAAAAAAAGAAAAATAACAAGGGGACGCCTGGGAGGCTCAGCTGGCTAAGCGTCTGACTCTTGATTTTGGCTCCAATCGTGATCTCGGGGTTGTGAGATCGAGCTCTGTGTCAGGCTCCTTGCTCAGCAGGGAGTCTGGTAGAGAGTCGTGCTCTCCCTCTCCCTCTTCCCACCCTCTTTACTCCTCACACTTGCTCACTCTCTTGCTCTCTCTGGAATAAAAATTTTCTTAAAAAGTAGCTGTTACTCCAAAAAAAAGAAAAAAAAAGAAGAAGAAGAAGAACAAGTGGCAGGCTTTTGAAACACACAGGTGCCAGGCTCACATCTACAACCATAATAATAATAAGATCCCAGTAAAATCAGAAGTGAACTATCCATCTCCCAGGAACATGAGGGACTTTTCTTGCCAGGGAAGATGGGCAGCACAAAAAAGGGAAAGACAATCTTCTTTTCATTTCACTCATTTAAAGTACCTCTATAGAGGGATTATTAAGTGCAAGGCACACTTCTAGGCACCGGGAATACATCAGGGAGCAGGGTCATGGTCGAGTGACATGAAAGGAACACACAGCACACCATCCCATCTCTTCTGCATTCCAAATGACTTCTGTAAAGAAGAGTGTCAGTGCCCGAAATGCTGCCATCTTGCTAGACGTTTTATTGCTTTGTTATAGAAGTACGGTTTAGGGTAGCCTCTTAAAATAGAATCCTGGAAACACAGCAAAATATCAATGTTTTAGCCTGCTAAGCAGTTGTTTTTTTTTTTTGTTTTTTTTTTTTTTTTAAAGATTTTATTTATTTATCAGATAGAGATCACAAGTAGGCAAAGAGGCAGGCAGAGAGAGAGGAAGGGAAGCAGGCTCCCCGCCGAGCAGAGAGCCCGATGTGGGGCTCGATCCCAGGACCCTGGGATCATGACCTGGGCCGAAGGCAGAGGCTTTAACTCACTGAGCCACCCAGGTGCCCAGCCTGCTAAGCAGTTTGATCGAGATTTGCTCCACGGTCTGCACATGACCTGATCGGCCCTTCAAGCTAGTACAGGTCATCCAAGCACCTCTCCCAGCATCCCTGGAGACCGTCCAGTGGACTCCTATTTATTAGAGACATTAACTTCAACTCTGAAATAATGGAGAACGTTCACTTATTTATATAGTTTTCTGCTACAGAAATCATGAAAGTTGAAAAAAAAATTGTCTATCAGTAAGATCTGTGGACAGTGGCCAAACAGCAGTGTCCTCATCAAGAACTGTATCTATAGTCAAAACATTTAACCCCAAAGCAAGAGAAAGTGAGTGTGGGTAACAGAAGGGCAAAGATCTGACTGACACTCTTGTTTTCTCTTAACAGCGAAGCTAGATTCCTACCTTCTTTTGGGTTCTGCTTAAATTGTGCAGAAAGAGAAGAAAGAAAGATGACATCTCTGTCCCGGTCCTTCCAGGAGACTCGGAAGATCTTACAGACCAGCTGCAAGGCCTGCTCTTCGGACACTTCTGAACCCGAGGAAGGCTCCTGTGAAGGAGAAGATTTGCAGGTTAAGTTCAAGTCGCTCATTTATTAATCGGGATATTTTGGAAATGCATACGACTGTTCACCCACTGACTAAGGGGAAAATAAGCTTGTTACTCTGACTTCAGCACCACATGGAGGTTTCATCCGCTTACAGCTATCTACGGGGGTGGACAAAGGAGCAGGGACATTACTGCAATCACCAAGGGAGGAATTAGATAAAGGATGCATATACATCCTGTTTGTTTACTTTCCCCAACACCAAAGAACCAGGATAACACCAGCACAGAACTCATTTTCATCCAAAAACTTCTCCAGAATTTAATGTTACTCACTAGTTTCTGTCACAGATAAAATATCATGTATATAAAAGAATTTTGGAAACAGGTAAGAACTCTACAAAATAAAGCATCGCGCCACTAGAAGGCCCACAGTCCACCAGGTGACCACCCCGTGCTGCGGAACCCTCCTTATCACCACACCGGAAGTGACGCAACGGTCTCTGCCAGGTCTACCCCCAGGACACCCACCCAAACAGAACACGTTTTTTTGTCTAACTACAGGGAACTAAGCTCACATGGTAACAAAATATGAAGACCTCATATTTTATATGAGCTTCTAAGTGCTACTGGACTTCACGTATTCTTGCTTCGATTCCCAGCCATTTTCCTCTGAATACTACGGAAGATCTGATGACCTACTTGCATAAGCAAAAGACCAACAGAAAAAGTTCAAGTTAGCGCTAAATTCCTTCTCATTACCAACTCCATCTACTGACAGAAATATGGATCTGAAACCAAGCTAACTTCAGGATCTGCCCGGATGAAAGAAGTGAGCTCTCCTTCCATTATAGCAATCTTAGCTACCCATCTCCCCCCCTCCCCCAAAAAGAGTCACCTCAACAGAATTTGCTGACCTGGGGCAGCTCACTCTGATCAATCGTGCAGATGGGAGAACCAAAAGGGCATTTATATTACCTGTTCTACAAACAGAAGCAAGGGCTTCATCTCTTACCAACCTTATCGCTGAGGCTCCTCTTTTCTCTTCGATCGTTTTCATCAACCTCCATATTTTCAATTCCTGAATCCACATCCACCTGGGACATGCTTTAAGTATAAAAAACAAATAAGGCTTTTACCTTTTATAAACCCACCCAATGTCATAGCTCCTGGTTGAGGAGAAGTTCTTAACTATCAGTCAAAATCAGTCAAGAAGACAAAATAATAAAGCAAAGACGTCAAAATCAGTCAAGAAGGCAAAATAATAATAAATATTTTCTCTGATTGACTTTTAAGGGCTCTTCATATACTAGGTAAACATTCTGTCTTTACACTTGCTGGAAATATTTTTCCTAAGTTGGCATTTTCTCAGGCTCACTTTCAAAAGCAAATTAGAGGTTATTTTCTGTACATATCATTTTTAAATGGCACACATACAATCAGAGCCTGATTACAAAAATCTGGTTAAGCACATATATTCATTTTTCCCACATTAAATAAATAATTTTCCCAGCACCATTTATGGAAAAGAGCATCCTTTTTAAGCTCATATGAAATCACCTCTCCCAGTCCAGTGGCCATGTAAACACGTATGGGTCTTTTTCCAGATATTCATTTCTGTTCCATTAGATAATCTGCCTGTCCCGTAACAAAAACTTCACAGTCAATCTTGATATCTGCTGGGTCAATGTCACCACCTCACTCTCCTACTTCAGGAGAGTCTCAGCCATTCTTGGCCTCTGGCTCATCCACACATACTTAAGAATCAGTTTCACAGATTTCTTAAAAATCCTGCTGGTATTTTCACTAGAATTTTACGGACTCTTGAGATCAAACTGGGAGAAAGGATTTCATTACATTATTGAGTCCATAATAAGCATCTCTCTCCAAGTTTTTAGATCTTCTTCAAGGTCTTTCAATAAATCTTTTCTTTGAAGCAGGATCCACACCTGGCATGGAGCCCAGTGCAGGGCTTGAACTCACAACCCTGAGATCAAGACCTGAGCAGAGATCAAGAGCCAGACATTCAACTGACTGAGCCACCCAGGCACCCCTGGTCTTTCAATAAACTTTCACTGTTTTCTCTCCAAGTCTTCCACTTCTTTTGCTAAATTTATACCTAGGTACCATATGTTTTTAAATGAAATTGGGAATGGTACCACTTAAAAGTTAAGTTTTCTAATTTCCTGTTGCTAGTCCATAGTAATACAACTCTGAAACCTCTGAGAAATAACTTATTTACTTACACGTAGGATTTACTAGGTAGAAAACCATTTCTTCTCCAAATAGTAACTACTTCATTTCTTCCACTCTAACCCTTATTTGATTGCACTGGGTAGGATCCCCGTGTTGATCAGACATAAAAAGAGCGACCACCTTTGTTCTTTTTCCTGATTTTAAATGGAGTGTTTCTAATTTCTCATCCCAGACTATGCGAGTTGCTGTAGTTTCTTGAGAGACATCCTTTATATTAGTCAGAATACGGTAGGCTATGCTGTGGTTACACACACACACTTGGAAATCTTAGAGGCTTAACACTATAATGGTTATTTCTTGCTTACGCAAAGTCTGGTGAGAGTGAAGCATCCTTACTCCATCTTTAATCTATGCCATCTGCAATACACAGCCTCCAAGGTCACTGGAGCAAGAGAAGAGAGGGATGGAGGAGGCATCGGCTCAACTGCCTTCACCTGAAAGTGACACATGTCACTTCCACTCACAGTCTACCGGACAAAACTAGTCACTTGGCCCCCATCTACTTGCTGAATTCTGTCTCTGCCATATTGCTAATTCAGGAGGCACCTTTCTGTTTCCTGTTTGCGAAGATTCTTATCACGGACTGAGGCTTTTATAAAACTTTTCCAACTACCAAGATTATACGGCTTTTCTCTTCCATATACAATGTGCGGAATAATATTCATAGATTCACTAATGCTGTACCCTTGCATTCTTGAGATAAACCCAAGTTGCTCATGTTATGTTATTACTTTAAACTTATAACTGAAATATCCGTACAGACCTATCCATGGATGACGTTGCGTGTTTGGCTGAATAAAGCTTCACAAAAGAAACATACTGACGTAATCAGCACCCGCATCAAGAAACAGAGCATTACCAGCACTCCAAGAGCACCCGGGTGACCCTTCCACAACCAAGCAAGCCCACAGTAACCACTATCCTGGCATCCAGCCCCACAGAAGCTTTGTCTGCTGTTTATGTGTTATAATATTTGATTTGTCAGTATTTCAAGATTGTTGCAAGTACGTTCATGAACATGATTACCATGTAATTTTTTTCTTTTATATTATTCTTGTCTGGTTTTGATATTAAGGTCCTACAAGCTTTGTAAATTGGGTTGGTAACTATTCCCTATTTTTTAAGATGATCAGGAAAAATTTGTGTATAACTAGAATGGCAGAATCTGCCCATAAAATTATATGAGCAAGGGGCTTACTTTGGAAAATTTAAAAATACTGATTCAATTTATTTCATTGGTTTTTGATCATTCAGTTTTTCTCTTTCCTCTTGAGTCCATTTTGGGAGAACATTTTTCCAGGAATTTGATTTTCATCCAGATTTTCATGTTTATTTGCATGTTGCGCATTTATATTTTTTTCACGAAATTCTTTTTAATAACGAACATTACCGAGATCCCTTTTCTATGCAGGCATTGTTCTAGCTGTCAGAGAGGTCGAGGGACCAACAAAAGGGACAAAACGGCCCCTGTGTCATGGAGCTTACCTTCTAGTTAGAGGGAGAAAGACACCAGTGAACATAATAAGTGAAACATATTGTACAATGATAACTGCTATGGAAAAATTAAGGAAAGGGCAACTGAGGGTGCAGGCCTTTCCATTTTATTATTTTTTTAAAGATTTATTTTTTTATTTATTTGACAGAGAGAGAGATCAGAAGTAGGCAGAGAGGAAGGCAGAGAGAGGAGGAAGCAGGCTCCCTGCCGAGCAGAAAGCCCGATGCGGGGCTCGATCCCAGGACCCTGAGATCATGACCCAAGCCGAAGGCAGAGGCTTAACCCACTGAGCCACTCAGGCGCCCCAGGCCTTTCCATTTTAAATGGGGTGAGCCACCCTGAGAAATGTCACATGAATACAGACCAGAGAGGGGTCAGCCATGCACATATGCAGGGAAAGAGTCTTCCCACAAAGGGTTTTTATTTCTGAGACTTATTTATATTCTCTTTTTCCCTGTTTCATTTATAATATATTACAGCTTTCTATTTTATTCCGAGGACCACTTTAGCTACGACATACAGCTTGTAACATGGAATATCTCTTACAGTTCAGTTCTAGATCCTTTCAAACTCCCATGACGATTTCTTCTTTGATCTGTATTTAGAAGCGTGCTCTGTTTTAAAAATTGCCAACTATGAGGAAATTTTTAGGATTTTTCCTTCTATTAATCACCTAATTTAATGTCCTTGTCAGAAAACATGATCTATGTGACGCATCACACAGAAACTCTCCGGTCGTTGGGGATTAGGGAAGAATGTGTGTTCTCCAACTGTAGAGTGCCAAGTTCTGTATCTGTCAATTACATCAAGCTTTTAGCTGTGTGGTTTAATTTGTTCATATGCTTACTGATGCTCATTCTTTCTGATTTATTGATGGATGAAAGGAATGTTAAAATCTCCCATTATGATTATGTGTTGCTTTCTCCTAGTTTTACTGTTGTGTGCTTTACTGCTGTTGCTGTCCTCTTACCAAGTGCATATATTTTGGAAACTGTTAAACAGTACACAGTGCTTATTTCTAATATACTTTGTGCCTTAAAATCTAATCTACGAATATGTTTACCCTAGTCTTCTCTTGTTTAGTATCTGTGTGGGATAGGCTTTTCCCTTTCTTTTGCTTTCAGTGAAAGGTTGAAGATCTAACCTAATGTTGCAGGTGTGCCTTCTGTAAACAAGGATAAAGCTGAGTTCTGTTTTGTTTTTACCCCAATCTAAGCCTTTTCACTGTGGTGCATTATGATGACTGACCAATTTTCATTTCTTTTGATCTTCTATTCATTTGTCCCTTTTTAAAAACTTGTGTTTCTTTCTTCCCTCCTTTTGAATTGACTTAAATTCTCCCAAGCTCCCAACTCCCATTCCGTATTTTCCCTTGACTGGTTTGGAAGACATACTCCATTCCTGTTCTTTCAGTGGCTACCCTTGAAGTTTTACCAAGTATCCTTACATCAATATGTAAAAGTTGGCCAAGTACTTTCACCCCTCTCCTAAGTACCCAGGGACCTCAGAGCTTGTTCTAACCACCCTGCTCCTGGCTTCCCTACTATGCTGTGCAGCACATTCCGTCTAACTCACTGTTTTCCTTCTCTCCCCCAGTGTTATTTTCTGTACCGTGACTCCTGTTTTACACTGCCGGTCTTTGTTTAGATTCACGTTTATTTTCCTCATTCGTTCTTCCAGCTTGCATCGCAGACATCAGTCCTGGGACCACTCTCCTTCCTCTTCAACTACATCTGCTAAAAGCTGGGCTCTTCTGGGGGCAGACTATCAGGTTGTTTTTGTTTGTGCACTTGTTTTTATTTTGAATCGATAAATGTCTTTATTTCACCCTTGCACCTGAAAGACAGGTGCACGAGGGCACACAAGTTCCAGCGGGCAGCTGATTTACTTTTCAGCGTTTGGATACTATTATGCCTCCATGTGACCTCCGTCATTCAGGCATCTATCATTCCTTGGTAGCTAAACTCTTTGCTCTCTCTGACTGTTTTAAAGCTCTTTTGTCTTCAATGTTTGGAAATTTTACTACAGAATGTCCAGATATGAGCTTCCCTTGGTTTAATCAGCATGGGAGTTTCTGGGCTTTTTGAATCAGAGAAGTCGTATCATTTATCAACTCTAGAAAAATTTGTAGCCATTTATCTTTTTGAAAATGGCTTCCCAACCAATAGAGGAAAAAAAGCATAGAATAAAGCGGGGTGTGGGGAGTTGCTCTAAGTCTCCCTACTCTCTCCTTCTGAATTTCCCTGAGGTCTAGCTTAGCCGTGTGTCCATTATGTCTCTAAATACACTGCACAGGTTTCATTATTTTCTCTTTGTGGCACACTCTGGGTAATTTCTTCAGCTCTACCAGTCAGTACGTTAATTCTCTAGCTATGTCTAATCTAGCTACGTCTAACTCTTGCATCAGGTTTTCAATCTGAGTGATCTTTTCATTTCTAGAGATTCGACACGATTCTTTTTCAACTGTGCTTGGTTGTTTTTATGGTTGCTTTCCCCTTATTCACGTTTTCAGTTCCCTTTGTAATTTATTTAAACATGTGTGTTTTGTATTCCACACCTAGTAATTCCAAACCCCCAAAATCTCCAGGTGAATACTTCTGTCATTTCTGCTCTGGGTCCCTTACTCATGCTGGCTTTTATCTAGTGCATTCTGTGATTTCTGACCATGAGCTCACACTTCTTGGCAATTTCTCTAAGGAAATTCTCTGAAGATATGGATGATTTATGTTTGCTTCTGCTAGGTGCCTTTCAGACAGCATAGGCCTGGCTCTACTGTATATGACAGTAGTTCTCATCTTGAGGCTTTTCAGACTATAGCAAGAGCATAAATCTAGGTGCTCAACCCAGTGAAGTCACCCACTGGCCATGAAACTGCAGAGATGACTTGGCTTTTTAACAATTTATCTACTCAGAGCTACGGTAATAAGAACACGATTGTTTTTACTCTGTGGGGTCGGATTTTTTCCTACTTGATCTTTTTCCTGAGAATGCAGTCCTTTCTGAATTCTTACCTAATGTAAGGTGATCTCTGATCTGGTTCCTCAACCCAAGCCCACCAAGTGCCAAAGCCCTATGCCACTGCTTCTTAACCTTTTCTACCTCATAATGCACATAGAAAATAGCATTTGTCGGTCCACTGATATGATCTGTGGGAGCTGCTTCAGGGCAGAGGAGCTGGGTCCTGGGGTGGGAGGTGGGGGGTTCTGGCCTTCCCGAGCAATAAAGGACTCAGTACCCAGCCACTCTGTCACCCACTCATGGCACTATGACAGCACAGACAGACCCTATTCTAGGACATCCTGACCCTGATGGAGCTCCTAAGGTATGTGGCTTACCTGTCTGTACCCTTCGAAACTTAAAAATTTCACTAGTCAGTAAAACTTTGAAGAAATTTCTAGGGACTGACATACGCCCGCCAACACAGTGTGTACAAAATACGGACATTAGGAAAAATTTAAAATAATTTTTTTACCACTTATAGCATTATTTCATAAAAGACATTTCAATGCCAAGACCAAGAAAACTTCCATAAAGACTATTTCCGAATAATACGAAGACCTATAAACCTCACAGATCTCGCACTAATTTGCTAAGGACTGGCATAAATCTCTGGGCTGGCACTTGGGACTAGCGGACTAGAGACCAAAGTGACTGAATCTCTCCCTTTCCGTAAACCCGACAGCTTATTGGAAAATGCCTTACTTTACCTTTTTTCACAAGAGACGCCATCGATATCCATGCTCTGGGAACGTGAGAGAGACTGAGACTGGGTTTCAAGGCTATTGGAGGGCGAGCTGCTGAGAGAGCTGACTCCTTCACTGCTCTGGCTTCGATGCGCTACTCCTGGCGGGAAAAGACATGAAAAGTTAAGTTTCCCGCAAAGTAACATTAGAGCCATCTGTAATGGCGACAGTAAACAACACAATCAGCACTCCTACCATCACGACAGTCAGCAGATAAGGAATCTCCATCGGGAGATCATGCTCATGTTTAATATTAAAATCACGAAAACATTAGCAAGAAATCATAGTTTATCCATGTATGTCATACGAGGTCAGTGACACAGCTACATCTGAGAGCCAAACCTGACTCCTCATCACTTTCTCTTTCACCGATTCAAACATGGCCCCTGATACATATTAGCTTCTGTGACGGTCCAGAAAAATCCTTGAAATGCACCAAAAATAAGGTAAATTAATAAATGGCTGTAGAAATACACAGATGGATAGATGTGTGCCACAGTAAATACACCAAAATGTTAATGGTAGGATCTTTGGTGTATATACAGGTGTTCATTGCAAAATTCTTTCACCTTTGGTTTAGGCTTAAGATTTTTATAACAAAATGTTGAAAACATGCCAACAGAGCCAATCTAAGCAATGTCCTTAAATACAGATCAACTCATTTGTTGACTGAACATCTCATCAGATGGTTTGGGGAAAATAAAAGCCCTGACACTGTCCTTGCCTTCACAGAGCCTACAGTATAGAGAATAACAGCCATGAGTACAGGGCAGATTATTTCTTACCCATGTCTTTGAAACCATGTTTTTCTCATAAAATTAAAAAAATACTCCAACTCCACAAATACCTTTCCACGAAAAAACAATGTTTTACCCAGGCAATTGTAAGTACTTTAAAAAATGTATACTTACGTTGCGGAAAAGAAAATGAGATTGATACTAATAACACATTATATGTTAATTAACTGAATTTAAATTTTAAAATGAGACATTAAAAACAAAAACAAAAAACACAACAACAGCAACTTGAATTACCATTTGTAGCTGAAACAAGAACCCAGCGGATAAACTTGAACACTCCCAGAATCACAAGAAAGTAGACTTGCCGCCCTTTTCTGTCTTATTGAAGAGTGTCAGAAAACATTCATCCATTCCTGATAGTGGGTTTTAACATGTTTCTGTTTGTTAAAGCCTCTGCAGGACTCATGCAAGAAAAGAGAAACTAAATCCTCTATTCTGAAATAGATTCAAGGAGAATACAGAAAGTACCTAACGTGGCAGAAACTCACAAATAAATCTAGAGAAGACCGAAAAACTTTCAATTCCCAAATTCAAGAATGTAACCCAAAGTAAGTTCTCAATAACTATTTACTGAAGGAATAAATAATACAGCCTCAATAAGGTCCTTAGGAGAATATTATTTTACCTAGCACGATGAAAGGTCTAACAATTTTTCTAAAGAATTTATTTCTTTACAGAGAGAGAGTGTGCACATGAGTGAGCAAGTGTGAGAGGGGGATGGGGGGCAGAGGGAGAAAGAGAGAGAGAAGCTCAAGTTGACTCTACACTGAACCCAACGTGGGACTCCATCTCACAACCCTGAGCTCATAACCTGACCTGAAACCAAGGGTTGGATGCTTAACCGACTGAGTCCCACCCAGCTGTAAATAAAATTAATCAGTAATAATAAAGTTCAACAATTTTTATGGAATAGCAATTAAGCAACTTTAAAACTTCTACCTTGTAAAACCAGTTTTAAAATTAAATAGAGTAAGTTGTTTAAAAAAACCTGTATTTGTAACACAGCATACTAAACTACACTGCAAGTACAATGATCCTACAGTAATACAATCCCAGAGTACACCAGACAGTACAGAATACTGTGTTTGTAATATTTTTTTAAAGATTATTTATTTATTTGGCAGACAGAGATCACAGGTAGGCAGAGAGGCAGGCAGAGAGAGAGGAGGAAGCAGGCTCCCTGCCACGCAGAGAGCCCGATGCGGGGCTCGATCCCAGGACCCTGGGATCATGACCTTAGCCGAAGGCAGAGGCTTTAACCCACTGAGCTACCCAAGTGCCCCTGTGTTTGTAATATTTTAATAAAACATCAAGGATATCATCCGAATTCTTTTTGTCCTGAACCCTCCATGTGATCTTCAGTGGGGCAATTCTCCCTGGAATTTAGTATGTATCACAGCCTTCCTCAATCCCATCTAGAATCTGGAGTGACCCCTCCGCTTTCTTAAACTTAAAAAAATGGATGGTGTCTTTGAGTTTATTTAGAATCAATATAAATTAAATATTGTGGCTAAAACCTAATCAAAGCAACAGCACAAAACATCACTTTGTTTCCAAAGCGCGCCTTCTCTCCAGCTCCTAACTTGGGAAACTGTTGTCAGGAAGCCAAGTTTCAAGGAACAGAGATTTTCCCCCACTTCATCTCCATAAAGGCAGGTATTAAAGAATTAAAACAGACATAATCTCCTCTAATCCTCCTTTACAAGATGAGAAATTCTGTGCATTATCAATTTAAAAATGAGTCTTCGGGGTGCCTGGGTGGCTCAGTTGTTAAGCGTCTGCCTTTGGCTCGGATCATGATCCCAGGGTTCTGGGATCAAGCCCTGCGTTGGGCTTCCTGCTCGGCAGAGCCCTGCTTCTCCCTCTTCCACTCCCTCTGCTTGTGTTCCCTCTCTTGCTGTTTCTGTCAAATAAATAAATAAATAAAATCTAAAAAAGATAAAATAAAATAAAAACAAGTCTTCAAAAAGTGAGGGTGTATGTAACAAAGAATGGAGAAAGCCATGTCTGCTTAATAGAAGATGAACCACGAACTTTCAAGATGGCCGCTGTCCAAACTTTTATCACTAATAAAAGCTTGTTAAAGGAAAATTATACATTCTGTGTGGGAAGGCCATAATTTTAAAGGAAATAATAAGGAGGGTTTTAAATCTCTAAGATTTTCCTTCCAGTACCACAGTATTTTCCTGAATGCTGTAACACTAGATCTAGTCCGGTATTTTACACACACACACACACACACACACACACACACACACACAGAGTGGCTTGCTAAATTCTAGTATAAAAAGAAACAGAATTGCCAAATGGAACCTTAAAACCCCAATAAAGCTATTAAAAAGGTGTGTGTGTGGTGGGGGGTGACTTTAAAGGTCTTGGCCAATCCTCTTCTCCTTTACAGATGAGAATACTGAGATCTATGAAGTCTAAGAATTTCCCTTATTAACAAGTTAAAAAAGAGGCAAGATTAAAATACATGTCTCTTGACTCCAAAGAAAATGCTGCTATTTCCGCCATCCCAAACTGCGGAACACTTCTGTGATCACAGCTATTTTACACCAAAGCTGTATGTTTCATTTATTCTACAATTATAAAAGCAAACCTTAAAAAGATATTAGTGTTATAAAAAGAACCATCGTTCTACTATTAATTAAAATTCTAAGACTAATTTACACAGATCTTGACAATGAACTAAGCTGAAGGGTTAACTAACATTCCCAGAAAACACAAAGTACGCTTGTAGTTTATCTGGCCAATACCAAACGTGAGCCCTCAGAAGTGCTTCTAATGAGTATATCCTACTCCATAAAGCCGACGGATACATTCAGTCAGCAGCTCACTTCCTAGTGAAAACATTTTGTTCTTGTGAATTAACACAAATAGAAGAACATTTCAAACCTGCAAAGAAATACAGTGGTACCTAAAATATTAAGAGAAGAAAACCAATGACACAAATTAGAAAAATGATTTAATCTTATTTATTTATTTATTTTTTAAAAAAGATTTTATTTATTTATTTTACAGACAGAGGTCACAAGTAGGCAAGAGAGGTAGGCAGGGAGAGAGAGGAGGAAGCAGGCTCTCCGCTGAGCAGAGAGCCGGATGTGGGGCTTGATCAGAGGACCCTGGGATCATGACCTGAGCCGAAAGCAGAAAGCAGATGCTTTAACCCACTGAGCCACCCAGGTGCCCCTAATCTTCTTATTTAAGAGATAGGTTCCCTTCCTTCATATCAAAAGGGTGAATCATGCAAAGAATCAAAAGACCTTGACAGCTCCTTAGAGAACTGGTTGAGTGGAGGGCTAGTGCAAGAAAAAACAGGTTGAGCCTGTAGCATCTTACAGCGCCGAAGAGACAATACTCAAAAAAATGAAAAGATAAGCATGTCAAACAGAGGAGTCAACCCAAAAGAGCTCCCAATGGCCAACGCTAGAATGATTTGTGTAAAATAATAATGCAAAAAGAAATACAGCAATTTGAATTAAAACTCAAAATACAAAATAAACATACATGAGTTCTTACTGCTGTAAGTAAGGAGAAGAGACAAATGTCCCTTACAGAAGAATTCCACCTAACATATCTCCATGTAGCCATTCCCCATTCCAAAAGGCAAAGCTTAATTCTCACTGCCTGGGTGGGGTGGGCTGGATTTAGGAACTCGATTTCAAAGAACTGAGTCTGGAAAGGGAAAAAAAGTCATTAACTTCACAGTGGAGAGACCCCAAAATCACCAGCTTAACCAGGTGGTGAAGGTGACCACCAGCAGGGGTGCAGTATGGACAGTGTGCACACAGAGAGGAAGTGATGAGAGGGCCCTTGGCATGTGTGATTTTCTTCCCTCAAAACCCCAAACCCCAGTCTAATCATGAGAAAAACATCAGACAAAGCCAAATTAAGAGAAAATTCTACAAAGCTCTTCAAAGTTGTCAAGATAATGAAAACAACGGAAAGACTAACAAACTGTCAGAGACCAAAGGAGACTCATCTTTAGTTAACAGAAGTACCCCAAAGATTTTTTTAAAAAAGATTTTATTTATTTGACAGAGAGAGACACAGCGAGAGAGGGAACACAGCAGAGGGAGTGGGAGAAGGAGGAGAAGCAGGCTTCCTGCTGAGCAGGGAGCCCGATTCAGGGCTCGATTCTAGAACCCTGGGATCATGACTTGAGCTAAAGGCAGCCACTTAACAACTGAGCCACCCAGGCGCCCCAAACCCCAAAGATTTTTATGGTGTCAGGTCTCACAGTTAGGTCTAGTTCTTCATATATTTTAAATATTAACTGCTTATGAGATACAAGATT